ATTACCCCGGCGGAGGTGTAGTGAGAGTCGACGACGGCTAGAGTCGCGAGCTCGCCGAGGAAGGGGACTACTTCTTTGTTCCCCGCACAGTCTCTGGATACTTTGACATCTCATTTTGACGTCATTTTGATCATGGCTTTGATTGAACGTGAGGAGAGCATCATCAATGGACATTGATGGCCTCGTATGCTTATAGAAACCTTCTCACGCAGCAGGCCATAGCTCTCCTTCAGAGGTTTGGCTAGACAGCTGCGATGTGTGGGTGCTCCGAACCAACCCAGCTGGCCACCAAAAAAAAAAAAACCAAGAAAAAGAAGGTGGCGTATAGGTATTGGCGATACAGCTGTACCGTGCCACTGAGACTCAGAGAGCCAGGACGAAGTACATGGGTACCCGGAGCATTGCCAGGAGCAGAGCAAATCGAAGACTGCCAGCACGATCGGAAGGCCACAGCCACGCCCGAGCACTGGTTATTAAGGTTCTAATTTGCTCCTCCAGACGAGAGTGCGGGGCAGCTCGACTTAGTCTTGAAGCTTCCTCATTGCACATTGGCATTTGCATTTGCATTTTGCCTTTCCCGGCCAAGGAATTCATGTTGGCTTAGCCAACAGGAACACCGACATGCAGAGCCATTTCTTGATCTTTTGACCTACATGTAGTGCAGCGAGGCGAGTATAAGTGGCCAAAAGGCTTCGCAAGCGCAACGCGTTTCTGTGCGACCATTCTGATGCGTTGTACGGTAACGCCTTTCTCGATCATCTCAACCTGTCTCCGCCGAGCTTGATGCCTTGCGGCCGGTCCGAACATTCGCGACATACTGATAGTAGTACTCGAACGTGATATTTCCTTGATATTAGCTCGGCGATGCGTGCCGTGGAAGGGTGGCTCAGGGTCCTCAGGCCCAGGGTTATCTTAGCTTTCAACCTGGCAAGCATGGCTCGCTGGGTCTCCACGACAAGGCCCGCCCGGCAGGATCAGGAGGGGTCCCATCGCTGATCTTCCACATACGTTTACGATCCCGAGAGCTTTCTCCTCGCATTCGCAGCACACTAAACCTTGCAGCCAAAACCCTGCCGATAGGCCTAAGCTGTATCTGGACCTCGGTGGGTTCGAGACGCGTTATCACGGGATCTCATCGGCCCTGTTGTGGCTCTTTGGTGGCTGCGCTTTGGTGGCTGCGATTAGAGCTTGATATTGCGTGCAAGGTAACATGGCTGGCTCAGCTCGACCAGAAATCATTCCTATGGCGGCCATGAAACACCAACAAACACCAGCTCCTGATAAATGCACAGGCCAGTGGGAAAGGAAGACCGGCCATCTACCTGCCTCCGACTAGTCTAATAAGCCAGGCTAGTCGATGCCCGAAGCAGACCACGGTCGAAAGGCACAGTCGTGATACGATTGTGAACCGCCGTTTTAATATGAGCATTGCTTTTTGACCGGTGAATGCATGTCGCTCCCTGTCGCCACAAACCCTTTGCAGCTGAGGTGGACATTGAAAAATCACGGAAAAGCGTCGCCTACCCGGTCTGGTACAAACTGGCTCTGAACATGCTCCAATAGCCGGTCGTCCTCACTGCAGTGCAGGCTCGGATGCTGCTCCGTTCTGATTAGCCTGTCAATCTCGGAGCCCTTCTCAGATGGATTTGAGTATCTCAGTGAGCATATTTCTCTTCCATGTCTTCCACTCTCTGTGGTCGGAGTCGGTGGCAGGAGAAGTCAATTGGAACTCTCGCCGTGCAGGTCCCTTTCCCATTGCTCAAGCTCTTGCATTGCAGTGAGGCAGATAAGACCCAAGACAGTCGCCAAGTGCAAGCCGTGCTCTCTTCCACTGCACAGCCAAACCTTCCACAGTGGACACCCTAGAGGACGGGCAACGTACGATGGCAGCATATGGCCTCAGGGTGAGGGGAACAGAAGCAGGCAGGTACAAGCACCCCGGAGCGGCCTAGGATGTGGTGGGAAGCAGAGTTTCGGTAGGGCCGTGAGCCTTTCGACTACTGCGGCCGGGTCAGGAGGGGGTGCTGTGTTGTGTACTGTCGAGACTGTTTTCTACATACATATGTACCTACATGTAGGAGTGTGCAGTAGAGTTTGGATGGCGGCGTGGCCTCAGCTATCAAGAGGTCGAGTCCAGAGGTTTATTCGTGCCGGATCAGAAGGCGCGGCTGCAGGGATCGAGCAGAGCGGGGGTTCCACCTGGGAGGGCTCCACTGTTACGGTTAAGGTAATCGAAGGTAAAGAGCAAGGTGTAGGTGGGAGCCCCAGGTGGCCGTGTGCAGGAAGGTGCGATGGTGCTGGGGCGGCCGTGAGCATTCTACAGGAAAGTCTCGAGCAAGTACCAATCCCAGGAAGGCAGCCACGGACCCGTACCGTGCACGGAGAACGGAACTACTTAGGTACTTTGAAGAGACCTGCCTCCAAGCACCATCCCGCGCCTGTGGGACGGCTGGGACAAGCTAGCGCCGAAATGGGCAGGGCAGCAGGGAAGGTACTTGCGGTACCTCTAGCTTCCTTCTCCGACATAACAGCGAGCTCCCTGCGCCCTGCCCAGAGACCTAACCTAACCTAACCAACGACGCATCGAGATCGATCGCCACTGCTATGCTCTCAGCCAATCTTGTGGGATCGAAGCTCGATCGAAAACAGAAAACAGCACTTTCCCCATCTGAATTCTCCATCCCATTCGTTTCAATTGGCAGGAGGAAAGTCTCCTACACTGCAGGTGCCTCTGCCACAGAGAGTACCACGAGTACCTAGACTCGCACTCCCCAGTCCCAGTAGAGAGCCAGTCTCCAGTCTCCAGTCTACCATGTGCCTTGTACAGTACGGTACCTTCCAGAAGAGAAACACCCTGCCAGCTCCCCGTGTCAAAGTTAATGGAAGTTTACCCATCCAGGTCTGGCATGTACTGCCCAGTACATCGCTCTCAGGTTCCTCTGCTCTTGGACATGTAAGCCAAGATACATCCGATTCATGGTCCCATGTCCCGCATGGCCCCCATCCGCTCCTGGTATACAGCAAGGTAGCTCTTGTTGCTTCTTCTTCTCCATTCATTCTTCTTCTTCTTCCTCCTCCTCTGCCGCCGTCCTCGACCGTCGGAACTGCGAGACAAACACTGCCTGCAGCTGCGGTTGGTATATATTCCTTTCTCGCCCAATTCCTCACCACCCTGCCTCCGCCCTCTTTGTCCCTGATACCTTCTACATTCAATCTTGCCTGTGTGTCTCTTTGCCTCACAGCCACTCGTCATCAAAGCAACCTCTCAACAGTCCCTGAGCCTCAATTCAGTACAACATTACAGAAGCTCACAAGAGTATCATCTCTTACATACTGAGCCTTGCAGAGTGACCGTCTGACACAGGCCACTGCCTCTTATCCGTCCAAGTTGTTTGTTCCATAATACTACACTAATCAACATTCATTCGCCTTGTTGATTCACTCCACATCTCTTGTGCCACATTGCCTTTGTGTGATACATATTAGAGATCTGACCCATCCGGAGTACTACGGCCGCTATCTATAATCGGTCTATGGTTCTTTCAATTACTCGTCCTCTGCTGTTCAGACTTTGGCATCGACCATACGCTCCGATTCTTACACAACAAGCACACATCAAGCACGAACAATCGCCACAATGCCGAAGCGTTCGTTTGACGCTTCGACAATCCCTGCCGACATGACGCTGGAGCGGGCTCAGCGGAAGGTCAGTAAGGTAGTAAATCCTATCAACTCACCAAGCATTAGCAAATCAATGAGACTTACTTTGTAACAGACGGAGAGATCACACGAGGAAAACCAAGAGAGAGCATATATTGCCGCCTCGAGAAGGGCCGACCGCAGCATCGAGGCCCGCGTACAGTCAGCTCGCATGGCATCAGAGATTCATAAGAAGCGGACGGGCAAAGGCTTCAAGATCTCCGAGGAGATCGTCATGAAGGAGGAGATGTACGAGGAGGAGGAGGACGATCTTCCGAGACAGTACCGCGCGTTGGCCGCCCACCTGCAAACTTCATCTGCCGATATGAACAGCAGGTTGAGTGCGTATCTCACAAACCAGGTTGCCATGGCCAGCCTTGCCCGCCAGAATGAAGTCAACCGCATGTTTGCCGAACAATTTCCTGGCGCTGCCAAACTCTCACAACATATGGCCCAGTCCTTGTATGCACAGCCGCTGCAGCAGCAGCAGCAACAGCAGCAGCAGCAGGATGGCTCGCCACAGTTCCAGCAGATGAGCTTCGGCATCAACAACCAACTGGCCAGGGAGCGAGCTCAGTCGATAGCACAAAGTGAGGCGCTCTCCCCACGTCAGTCGATAGCCAGCCCGATGAACCAACCGAGAGGCTCGATTGAGGCCATCGCGTCTCCGCCAGCTCTATCACCCGGCTCCCCTTCTTCTCGGTCCACGCCATCCTTCAGCTCCGCGGCTACTTACTCTGCGACAACACTACCCGTGGATCCATCCCTGGCGGTGCCATCTGCGGCTTCCTCGTCGTTCACGGTTGAGCTCCCACACGAGGTGAAACAGATGGCCAACATCGACCCAAACGACCCCATGGCAAGCATGTTCTTCGGGAATGAGATGATGCCCACGAATTCCACCATGGACTTCATGCATTTCTCTGGTATGGGGAATGGTCACCCTGCTCCCATGCTAAAGACCGAGGCCTCGCTTCAGAGCGATTATGGGCCATCGGGTCTTGAACTACCTGGCCCATGCAGCACAATCGGCACACCAGGAGGTGGTGTTGGCGATAATTGGGATGCCTGGATCAACGACGACTGGCAGGCATGAACTCAACGAGCGGCTTTCATTTCAAACAACAGTTCAGCCCCATGTTCATATTAGAGGATACCTGGCTGTAATTGCATGACATTATTATTATTATTATAATTATTACTGCCCGGGGAAGCACTGGGGCCCGGCAAGCAATGTCTCTATTTCTGCGCCTTTCGAATCATATTTTTTTACGAATACCGGAACTCGTATTACACGACCTTCTTTCACGTTTAATGTACGGAATTTGGGAGGGAAAATTCGGAGCTGGGTTTGGCTTCTTCCTTATTTCCTATCCATCTCTCCTCCGTGCTTATTTTTGCACGCTTCACGACGAAAACGGGCGTCTTGGGAACGTCATCCGGCTATAAGGCCTGTTGCATGATGACTTGGGAGCGCGGCATATTTACAGATACCATTTTTCATCATAATTTGGCATACTGCCGCGAGGCGATTCCACGAGGAATCCAGATTAGGAGGAGGTGTATATGATTGGGATTAGGCGGACAACGGGGCAGCAATATTACAAATGACAGCATCGGCTGTCTGCTGCAGCGAGAGAGGAGGTAACCTCTCGAGCACATACATGATGGAAGGGGTGACGGAACCAAGAAAGCACCCAATTTAGCACTTAAAAAACTGAAAAGGCACAAAACAAACGAAAAAAAAATAAACAATATTGGAAAAAACACATTGAATCCAGAGTGCTCCATGTGATCAAGTGAATACTGTGCTCAAGATAGAATGGTTTTGCTACAACAACGACGACAACAACCCCGACGGAAGGATTTGATTGCGGTCAAACCCAATTGATCTACCAGGCATGAATGTTGACAAGAAAGACTAGAAGAGGAGTTGGAGGATCTAGACTTGATTGCCCAACTTCCTGCACCGTGACCCGAGTCGCAGTAACTGATTTTCACTGTTCTGACACCGCTAGCTGTTAACAGCCTCTGAATCAAAGTTAAGGGTTTCAACTCCCCTTTTCACATTGGCAAGTACGTCAGTCTTACCTCTCGATGATTAGCCTCTACAGGCATGAGCCAACCCCGTCCACGATGCTCAGCATAATCACCCAATCCCCCCAACGGGCGGGCGATCGGTAGCATCCTGCAGTGTTGCACCAGGCAATGTGCTTTGATCCTGCAATCCCGCGACCTCCGGGGATGGTGGCTTTGGCGTCGCCCCAGCGTGTCGACGATACCTGCGAAGCGCTAGATCTCGACGAGCCCATTTGAGTACCGTGGACGTGTGGCCGTCTCGACGGGAACCGTCAGACCGGCGCCTTCGACCGCGGCTCGCTCACGTTCGTCTGCTGGGCCGTCTTGGCCCCTGAGGCGTGCTGCGTCTTGTTGCGCCTGGGCGCGGCCCCGGGGCCAGCATCTGGGCTGGTGGCATCATCGATTTTGGCGCCGGCTTGGCGTGGCTTGCTGCTCATGCCCATCGCTGTAGTGTCGTAGCCGGAGCGGCCCATTGTGGGCCGAGGAAGATGGACGCTGAGGCTGAGACTGAGACGGTGAAGAGCGACCAGGAGAGTACCTTCCGAGCGGCCGATATTTGGTTCAGACGCCGTTTGGACGTTGCATGCCTACCGCTTGGATGGTTTCTGGATAGGATGGCATCGTCAGCCAGGCCGGTGCTCGTTCTTTATGGTTCAAAATGAACATGGGAATTCTGCTTAACTGTATTAGTATGTATGGGAGTGAGTGGTTTGATCAAGCTTGTCTGCTCAGAGTCAGAAGCCACCGGAACCTGTGTCACAGAAAGGCCCTCCAGGATAGGATGTAATGCTGCTGGAGTGAATGTTTCCATAGATGAACAACCCGCTCTTCAAAGCTGAGATTAAGATAACGTGTTTTACTGAGTGACACATCATGGCCCACCGATCTTTCTTTGGCTTGAAGCTGATGCCAAACTTCACATAGTCACGCCTGGCTCTGAGACTAGGAGATCTGAAAGGGGCCATTTAATGCGAGAAACAAGCCGTATAACAGATTTGATTCCTATCACTATTCTAATCCGTTCAGACACCTCACGCTTAGCACCACAATCCCATCGCACCCAAGAGAAGGAAGAAAACGCGCACAAACGGCACCGCTCGCCATGCCATTATCAAAACAAGCAAGAGCACAGCCCTTACATCCTAATTCGTAGCATCCAAAGCAACGAGGCCCCACCCAAACTATATATGTGGCGATTAGTGAATGACAGAGACATAGAACAGTACAGTAACCTGTCGCGCCATCGCTCTTGAACAGTTTCTAAGCTACATTTTAGTTGCACATAGCATCACCCTCTTCTCGCGACACTACTACCCATTCTCGTCTGCGAGTCTTCTAGAAGGTCCCTTTGATTTTGCGATTCAGATCGGTATCCAAGAAGTTGTAATTAGGATCCAACTCGCAGAATGGATGTTGCGAGAGAAGGCGATTGGCCGTAGGACGGTCCTGGGGGTTTCTACAGCATGATGATTAGCTTCACGTTCATACTATAGTAGAGTTGCAAGAAGACGGGATAGGACTTACACAGTAAAGCAGTCCAGCATGAACGCCAGCGCCAGTGGACTGATGTGCATGCGCACCTCCTCAGGAATCGGAGGCGTTTCGCCATTGGCAATCTTGTAGATCGCCCCAACCGCCTCTTCCTTGCTCCACGGTCGGCGACCAGCCAGCATCTCGAGCACGACACAGCCCAAACTCCAAATATCTACCTTGGCGGAGTAGCCTTCACCTTGTGACCGGATGACCTCAGGAGCCATCCAGAAGACACTGCCCTGCATACTGTTCGTCTTGTCGTTGCCGTAGATGTTATCTGTTTTCTTGCTGATACCAAAATCGGAGATCTTGCAGGTTCCGTCAAGATCCAACAATATGTTGTCGGCTTTGAGATCACGATGCAAAATTCCCTCGCGATGCAGGTAAGCGAGACCAGATAGAGTCTGTCTCGTCAGAGAGGACACAACAGACTCTTCAAAACGACCGTGTTTGCGTAGACATGATCCAATACTACCACCGCTGATGTACTCAAGGAAGATGCTGATGCTCGTCTCCTTCCGCTCACACCCGAGATACTGCACAATATTGACATGATCAAGATGTTGCATAGTATCGATTTCCTGATCCAATGCAGCGACCAGCTCTCGCATCTTGTTTTTGTCGCCACCTGCTGCTTTTGGATTGACTTCAACCTCCTTCACAGCCAAGAACTCTCCGGTGGTCGCATTCATACCAAGGTATACACGGCCGTACGTTCCCTTTCCGATCAGCTGACCCTTGAACCACCGGAATGTAGTCTGTCTCTTGGGAAGAGTGTCCTGAGGTATCTGAGGCATGACCATAGAGCCACGCTCTGGTCGGATCTGCACAATGTTGGCATTAAACATCTTCGTAGATTTGCGACGCATGATTGCACTGCTAGCAGCCGCGCCTGCAGCACCGGTTGCCTGCTGGGAAGTTTGCGTGTAGCGTTTATTTGCCTCATGGGCACCGCGCGCAACTTCTCTGATGGACTTCATACGTCCTAGCCCGCCTGACCTCCGAATGCTGCGATGAGCGACACTGGCTATGGATGCTGGCCGCTCGAGAGCCTTTAGTGTGGATTCATCTGAGCCGAGAGTGTCGCTCTCGCCATAAATTGACGAGGCTCTAGACGGTGGGATTGCGGACGGTTGCTGGCTTGGGGTGGGAGGTTGTTTTGTTCTCTCGGTAGGGCTCTCATCGGCCTCTGCAATGGGGCTTGGTGGCAGTTCTTGCTCACCTTCCTCAAGGACTGGCTGGTCGACATCCAGGTTGGGGAAGAAGTCCTCAAGATTATTGATAAGGGCATCCGTTGGTGGACGGTTGGCCCAGACATCTTTCTCGATGAAGCTCTTACGTCTGCTTAACTTGACATCTTCATTTGACTCCCAGCCCTCGCTAGCTGGTGTTCCAGGTGTGCGTCTCGAGCTCTTGGAGCTTCGTGCGCTAGACTCGTCATCATCGACCTCTGGCGTCTTGATGCCCATGGATTGTGGGCTGGAGAAGGACACAGATAGATTCTTCTTGCTGCGTTTTGTGTTGACTGTCAAGGTTGGTCGCTTATTATTGGGATCTGACTCGCCCCCGCTATCACCATCAAAGACAGGCACTGGTTTTGCGGCTGCTTTGCCCTTTGACTTGCTAGGGCTCCTCGATGAGATCGGTACAGCGAAGAGCCCATCATCCGAGTCGTCGCCAGAGTCATCTCCCGATGCCTGAATAGCCGGTGCCGCTGGTCTTGAGAAGCTGACTTCTGTTTCCGTGAAGTCGACATCTGGACCGTGGCTCTTACGGCGTGGTTGCGCGAACCCGCTTCCGCTACCTGCTACTGCAGTTGGACTGACATTGCCCGGCGAAACTGCTCGCCGTGTAGCGGTCTCCGCTGCTGCTTGTCTCATTTTAGCGACCGTTCCATTCTCTGCAGGCTTGCCGCCGTCGAAACTGTCATCGCCAGGCAGCAACGGGGTACCGCCGGGTGAATAGTCGGGCACTAGGAACGGCACGTTGCCACGGCTCCACGTTATGGAGCCGGGCGACCCGGGCGTTCTTGGTCGCGGACTACTGCTTCCCGGAGGCTGTTGCTGCTGCCCCGAAGGGTAGACAGTCGACATGGCTCCCTTACCTCGGTCATTGAAGTCACCATTGGGCATGGGCGATGACACTGCCCGGTTAGGTGATACTGCCCGTGCTCCAGCACCAGGGTGAGCTATTCCCCCAAGATTTCTCCCCATGGACGCCAAAGCGGCGCCAATACCCCCGAGAGCTTGGGCGGATTGCATCGGCTTCCTCTTCTCTGACATCTGTTTCGGTGAGTCGCCAGATCCCGGTCTCTTAGTCGGATACCCATCGAGACTGCCCTGGCTCAATCTCATACGATCTCCCGTTCTTCTGCTGAGCGAGTTCGCTTTAATCAGAGTGGCGGATGGATCGAGCGGCGCTGCGGGGGCCTTGCGTTGGGGCAAGAGGTTATCGGCGAATTTCTTCTCTTCGTAGGGCGAGTTTCGTGGTTCGTCGAAGTTCACGTTCCTGCCAACAATTCCATAAGAGGCGCCCTCGGAGGGACTGTCTTTCATGGCAGCTTGCCTTCGTTTTGCCAAGTATTCCTGCTGCTTGCGTTCCATCTCCGCCCTATAGGCGCCTGCTTGCTGGCTGAGATCTGCCTTCACTTCCTCCGTGGGCCGATCGCCGCTTATCGTGTTCTGGCGGGACGTTGGCGGGGACGAGCTCGATCTCGGTCGGTGACCGTTCAGACGGGCGTAGGTATCTTCGTCCATTGTAGCCCCGGCGGGTATATATGTTGGTGCGAGACCCTCCTGCACGCCCATCTGGAATCCTAAGCCAGCCATCGGCCCCGGCCGAACGAAGAGCTTCAGAGTTCCGGCAGAGTCAGCCTTCAAACCTTTGTTTGTTGTAAGCTTCATATCGTCTAATGGGTCATCGTGATCGGATTTGCCGAGCTCTGTCAGATAGATCTGTGCTCCTTCGGCATCGGGCAGCCCTAAGTTTCGGCAGATCAGCTGGCGCAATTCTGTTGCACTCCCAACATCCGTCACGTCCACCATGCGATAGTTCCAGTAGTCAAGTGTCGCAAGTAGGTAGATCCTGCCTCCGCGCCGCGGCCTGAATGGAATGGTATAATCCGGCGCCGCTTGTGCAGAGAAACTCGAGCCGGGCCGATCAAGAGATGTTTCACTGGCATTTCCAGTCCGGCTGCCCAGAGAATGGGGCTTGAAATTGAGGGCTGGGCTTGTGGGAGACTCCTGGTCCTCAGGTGATGGGAAGCCGTCCTCCTTCTGCTTCTTCTTTCTGGATAAGAACGATAGGAACGATTTGGAGTCTTTAGCACTGTTTGGTGGCTCCGTACCCGCAGATCGGTCTCCTGAGTCCAACGGCGACGGTCGACTGCCGTCCTGAGCATGGCGGCGTGTATCCTTGATCATCTCGCTAATGTTCATCTGGCTTCGCAATGCCTGGCTGGCTCCATCAGGGACTCCAGATCCGTATATTGCTGCATTTGAGGATACTGAATCTGTGCTATTCCGCGATCGATGACCAAACCTGCCATGTGGGGATGCAGACAAGTTCGGCGTGGTTGCTGATGGGAAGAGACCTTGCTGTGGGTTCGGGCTGTTACTCGGGCTGTCCCTTCCCATGGCCCGGAGGGTGCCTGCCTCGCCGGGTTCAGTTGCTCCAGGACTGTGCCGGCGGGCGCTATCTACGTCAATACTCTTCAAAATGGTTCTGTGATTCGCGTCAGAACTCATCGTGCTGTTGTTCAGCGTGGGCATAGTGTTATTTCTGGTTTGCGAAAATCGTCGCCCGCCAGAGAAGCCTGGCCCCGGAGCTTTGATAGGCGTCTATTAATGGATTCACCGGTTAGTACACTTCAATATTTAACTTCTTCCTGGCTATGAACTCACGTTCGGCGAATCTGCCGCATCCGTACCGGCACTTGGGAGATTGTTGTTTGTTCCCGTGCTAGACTCTTTTCGAGTATGCGAGGTGATCATCTTGGGAGCTTCGCCAGGGCGACCAGTCATGATACTGCGGATCAGCCTGCGCATTCTCTTACCCTCTTCACGCTCACGGGCTTGGTCCCATCCTGTCCCGCTGCTTGTACACTCTTGTGCTAATCTCGGATAGACCTGCTGATGCATCATGCCAAAGTTTCCTCGGCCACCGTGTCCGCTGCCGAGCTCCAGAAACTGAGCCCCATGAAGATTCAAACCTCTGAAGGTCTCTTGCCAGTCTTTTGAGAAACTATTACCCTGCAGCCACAATAACACCCTGTCTAGCGGCCACTGAGCAGCGAGCTCAGGTGGCATGCTACTGGAAGATGTCGCATTGGATGTCGTGGATGCTCCTCTGCCATGTATCCCGCTAGCATATAGTCTGTCACGGCCCTGTGCATCGTCTTGTGGCGTCGTCATTGCCGTGTCATTCGTGTTTGTCTGGCTTATCGTCTGCCAGGAACTCAGAGAACTGGCTGACCATGTCGCCGCATCGTCCATTCCCAACCCTGGAATACCGACACCTTCGCCATAGGTGTCACCCTGGGGGATGTATGTCGCTGACATCTGCTCACTCGGGGGAGGAGGCGGCGGGATGGCAATCATCTGCCCTGGCGCGGCTTGCGCATGCAGCTTCGGATTGTATGCGCGATGCTGTCCTGTGGGCGGAGGTGGAGGAGGAATCGTGCCACCACCACTGTACATGTTGCCCCAAGTGCCATGCCACGGCGCTTGTGGATTCAGCGCGCTCCCGGGGGGAGGGCCTGGAGGAGGAGGTAGCCCTCCTGGTGGCCCGGGCAATAGCACATTGCCCGTTGTAGCTGGCGCACTGGGATATCGTGGAGGCGGAGGAGGGATCGACATCATAGTATTTATCTGGCCCATGCCAGGGGGAGGAGGCGACATGGGCGGCGGTGGAGGGACATTGAATGGCCGCGAGGGATCAGGCCCCGGGGCCTGTCGCTGCCCGTACATATTGAAAGAGGTCGGCGGACCAGGAGGAGGCGGTATGGAGAGGGTGCCGCCGGCGCGAGTGATAGGACGTGATGATTCGGGGCCGAGGAGAGGGGAGGAGGGGAGTTCGGTGGCAGTATGTGCCCTCGGACGACGGGCGGCGCCTGGTGATAAGGGAGAAAGAAACGGCGGTGCGTTTGTTATGGTCGGGTAGGGCGACCCAGGCCCGAAAGAAGAGATTCCGCTGCCGTAACGGCCGTATGTCGGGATATCGTTGAGGATGAGGCCGTCAAGGATCGCAATGTCGTCGTTGGCCCGGGGTCTGGCAGGGGTGACAGTCCAGGATGGTGTCGATGGGCTCGGGCCAGTGCCTTCTGTGGTACCTGATGCTGACAAACTCGACACAGAGCGCTGGCGCGAGCTTCTCATTTCATGGTCCCAGCGTCGGGGAGAAGCTCATGTTGTGGCGATCCTGGTAGGATACGAACAGCGATCGGGGGCCCGAGGGTTGTTGCTGGATGGGCTGCGCTGGTGAGGCAAGTCGAGATGTATGGACGTATGGACGTATGCCCACTGTCGGCTTAGCGTCGGTGTGAGGCGGGTTCTTTGTACAGTACGATGGCACAGCAACGGTCAAGCGATGCTCGGCAGGCTTTCCGTCCTCGTATATGTCTGGTATGTCGTCGCCTCGCCTCTGCTTGCTTGCTTGTCTGGGTAAGTATAGTGTAATGGCTGGTGTTTGGGCGTCAAGGCGCTTAAGTTTTGCTGCTGCAAATCGGTGGAGGCGCCGCGCACGCTGAAGCAACCAACCCGTGGACCTAAGTCAAATGGGGGCCGGTGGACTTGCAAGTTAACGGGGACTCGACTAGAACAGTTCCCCACTTGGCTACCTTGACTTGCCGTACCGCACCGTAGCTCGCTCGCGGCCGTGCCAACCACCTTGCCGAGCCCTACCTACTTAGTCTACCTAGGTAATAATAGGTAATAGTCACTCACTGTCTTGAGAGAGCCTGATGCCGTCGTTAATCAAGTCGGCAAACCTGGTTATAATTAGACGCGCAGTATAAATGAAAATGGGGTTCTCTCTCAACAGACTTTACATAGTAAGCATGCGGATTCCGCAAGCGAAGAGACGCCGATTGGCCTGACGCTGTCGGGGTGGATGGCTCTGCACCTGAAATGTCCCCCATTCTCTTCTCGAAACATAACAGCCTCTTCAATTCAACAAGACTAACATTCTAGGCTACTTCTGCGTATATGTCGGGACATTCTTACACAATCCCCTGCATGCGTGGGCATTCCTTTCACCTGCGCATGCTGTCCACTCAGCAGCCCTCGTTGTGATGGTGGCACCTGGGCTAAGGCAGTCTGCTCTGTCTCTGCGCACCCCGACCGCATCGAAGCGCCGTGTCTGCATGCTTCTCTCGAGCCGTCCCCCTTCTCGGCATTCTCACTGGCTCGCCATACCCCAGCATCAACCGCAATTGGTCGACTGCCACACACCCCTGAATCCTTCGCGTTTCTCTGAAGCTTCACTGCGCTGCCGAAGCCGACCTGGCTTCTTTCCACCAGGGCACATAGCAATAACCGGGCGAGAGTCTACTGTATAATGAATGCCTTGGGCTGACTGTGCAGGCGTCTCGTGAGACAGACATAGGCGCAATGAGATGATCAATTAGGTCAGCCAGCGCGCTGCCACCCGGCAATATCATAGCCGTTCGGTCGCTGAACCACCCGCTCGCTGACGACCGTTCCCGGACATACCGACTTGCATTTATTGACTGCAATCTACACTATCAGGCGCAATCTATATTGAACACGCCCAAGGATGAGGGCTTGCGGGGATGTCAGGAATCAATACCGGTAACCGGTCAATGCGGGCGTGGCCGGACCAGCCCTATCTACAGTGAGTGGGTTGCTAATGAAACAGCTTTGCTTCTCGAAAACTGCGAAGCTCGTTTCTGTTTCCATTATCGAAACCAAGCCGCTTGTGTTTCACATTGCATGTGATATTCCACCTGCATTATGCTGCGAAAGAGGCACGCCTTTGAAGTGCCACCGCAGGGTTTTGTCGATGTTGATAAAGGCAACCTTGTGAAGGTTATTAAACTAGATATATATATTGTCTTCGAACAAAATTATATGTACTGAACCAACGCGCACCATATACCAACTCCATGCCAATGCATCCCGTGCTAAACCTGAGAATACGCTGGGCCGCCATGACCTCACATCACAGAGCAGTTGCCGTACCCAAGCCAGTTGCTGATCTGCTCGTAATAGCCCGCCTCATCGTTCACCCCTTCTACTATGTTGTGCTTTCTTGCTAACCCTGTGATCTTGATGCTCTGTTCACCCGCGCCATGCCACCACCGCAGCTTCTGAACGAGGACAGTCTCCTCCTCGTCTGAGCTAATCTGCCACTTCCCAGAGCTGACTTCCACAGTGCTTGTATCCTGCGGGAAGTGAAATTCAGGCAGGAAAATCACGGTATGATTGTCATCCGTGGCATCTTGGAACGCCCTGAGCTTGAGAGTGAGAGTGCACGACTTCAGGTCAAATGTATAGTGATCGATATTGCCGACGACGGCAATAGGTGCAGGCCGAACATAGGCTTCTGCGGCACGAAGGCCTGGGGAATTAGTGAGCTCGGGATGGGGACTCGACGGTTGAGATGATATGGATGGGGTTGTAAGTGTTCTCTTCAGATTAGATGGAGTGACTGAAGTGTCATCATCTGCATCTCTTCGGGAATTGAGCGTTGCAGTTTTGACCAGACTGATGTTGGACTGGCTCGCATCAGCCTCTCGAGGCACCTCTGACACCGGCAATGGCTTGTCATCGACCGAGAAAATTGACAAATCCTCGCCATTCCAATTATCGCCCCATTGGTGATTGTTCTGCAGTGGTAAGTTAGCAGCCTGAATTGAACACGCGTATTTGAACACTCCATACCTCTGACATGTATAACCAGAGTGCATAGCCCTCCATCCGGGCCCCTTCTACCGCATAATGGTTTGCGTCCATCGCAGCAGACTGGCTGGAGAAATCACCGGTCTTGTACGCATGCTTGTCATCCATATCATACGGAATTCCAAACTCGGTCAGCATACAAGGGTGGTTACCCATGTAGTCCAAGCCCTCCTTCCTCATTGCAGCCAGCTGATCGCGGAAGCAATTACGGATGGCCGTCTCTCCAATCTTCACGCCAAAAGCTGGGGTTAAGTATCGGCCCCGGAGGATACCAAGGACATCCACATTCCAGACTCTATTCCACTTCTTTGTCATAAGCGTGATACCATCGTAAAAATGTGGCGCATAAACCATCTTTGGGTCATCGTCCGGAGTGCCCTTGATCTTGGGAGGAAGCTCAAGTGTTGGACCTTGTAGTAGCATGATGGAATCCTTGTGGTAGGATCGGACCATATCTCTGTACTTTCTATAAAACTCCAAAAAGTAGTTGTTCGTGAAGTATGGGTAATCGATCTTGTCTCCGGTCTTTGGATGTTTTGCAAAATAGTCCTTCCTCAATAGCTCATCGGATGAAGGATTCCAGACGCCATGCTGAGCCCATATGCACTCGCCTAGCTTCCATCCGGGATCACGTTTGTAATTGTATCGAGACTCGTCGTAATCGGCAGGGAGCCATGCTACTTCACCATGCGGGTCAACCAATGTCATTCCAACTTTGTAGGGGCCCAGGCCACCCATATCATATGTGTCAACCTCGCATGCCCGTCCGGATCCGTGAAGGATTGTCTGCCATATTGTTGGACATGTGCCTTTCTTGAGCTTCTGTTCATCCGGTATAACATTGATATCTTCATATCCGAGCATTCCCTTGCTCGGTTCATTCATGCTCTCCCATCCAAAGACGATGTCATTCTCAATGTCGCCGGCCTCGTGTATCCGCCTAGCCAAGTGCTGGCACGAGGATATAAAATGTTCTTGGAGGTAGTCTTGGATATTCTTGCCGTCCACAATGCACTTTGGCGCAAAGTCTCGACCACCGAAGAAGAGAGTGAACATGGTGGCTGCAGCAAGTCGGTAGTAGTTGGTCGCCCATATCATCTTGGGGAATTTCTCGGGATCTGGATAGGTATTATGTACGATGGCGGCTTCAGTTGCAGCGAAACTCTGCGGGTTGAGGCCGGCGAGGTAAAGCGTCCACATCGGAGCTCCCGATCCGCCAGTGAAACGCGACCACTGTTGAACATGTTAGATGTGCACGTGTAGCGCAACGAAGCTTGAAGGTGAAAGAAAATAAGATGCACCACTTACCACATCCTGATGAGGATCCATGAAGATGTAGAACCCGTACTCCTTGGCTACTCTTAGGATCTCGATTGTGTGCTGTATCCATTCCTCATCGTAGATACCTGGACCGGCAGCCTCGATAGCTTCCCAGGTGAAGACATAGCGGATGGAGTTGTAGCCAAAGCGCTTCAAACGGGCAAAGTGAATATGCGCATCTTCTCTGGGAAATGGCCTGGCGTGGAACTTGACGCTGTCTCCATCGAAGAAGTCATCGCCGTTTTGAGACGGTTGGTTCGGTGTGCTGGGAAACTTGGCGTCGCCGGCGACGTTGATCCCGCGCAGGATTACTTGTCGTCCGTAACCGTCGACGAATTTGCCGTCTTCGATTGTCAGGCGCAGTGGTGCCATCTTGGCCATGCGTCGCAGAGGTAGGCAGAGGTGCTCGTGATGGTAGTTGGGAGTTGATATTGACAGGTTGGGGACAGTGGAGGCCCCTATGACGTTCGGCAATGCGGCCCCCAAGGTATTGTAAGTCGCTAATACACCATCTAAAATTACCACTGATCTTGGTTACGATCCGGATTTAGGGGTAGCCGCATAGCCCTTATTTATACACGAAACGGTCTTCTTTTGCTCTCTATCAAAAACTGCACTTCTGAGATGCCTTCATGTCTACATATCGTCATCTGGACGACAACTAACAGCCCGATCTTACTCCTGTAACTCACCGGAGGAACTTGAAGATGAGGATATTAATTGGGCGATAACCCACGTCTTGCAGACCATTGAACCGAAGATCAGCCAGCCTGAACGCTATTGGGCGCCCCTGCGGCTGACGGTAAATCCTCGCTAAAGCTCCGGGCTTTGGTGGCGGCGGGAGCGCTGGAGGACAGGTACGTACCCGCTAACGTGAGCTGGCAGCCGATCCTCCCGTGCTGACCAGACACCTTGGGAACCTGTCCGTTAATTGACTGGCCCGTGCATCGCGCGACGCCTTGACGCGTCTGAGCCCGAGCACGCGTCTCCTATCTGCAAGTTCACCACTCTTTGTCAACCGCCTACTGTACCTCTTGTCTTCTCGACGACCTGGGTTGAAGCTATTCAACGACCGATTTTCACAGAAGCCGTGATGCCTCACTCTCTATCCCCAGAAGCAGAGGCTTCGCCGTCTGGCGATGTGCAGATGGAATCCGTAACGGTGGACAGAGAAAGCCAGCGGACCGAGGGTGATATTCCCATGGCTGAAGCCAGCCCACCCGCCGTCGAGGACCTTGATAACGATGTCAAACTTGATATCAAGTTGGATATCAAGCCAGAAATCAAACTGGACGAACTATTTGCGGATGTCGACTCAGATGAAGAATTCCCAAGCTCGGCAGTTGTCAAAGATGAGCCATCCAGTCCATCAGAACCATTCTCACCTCTGGAGTGCGTACCGTTCCAAGTCGTTAAGCAAGCAGTTTCCGCAGTGACTAATAGATAGCCAAATAGTGATGGTGCTCTCACTCTGAAAGCCTCAGATCCAGAAGTCATGCGCAGCTTTTATCAACGTCTTTTCCCATGGCGCTACCTCTTTCAGTGGCTGAACCACAGCCCGACACCAACATCCGACTTCGGCCACCGAGAATTCGCTTTTACTCTTCAAAATGATGCCTACTTGCGTTATCAGTCGTTTCCTACTTCCGACCTGTGAGAATTACTGGCCCTGATCAACCCGACAGTAACTGATCACGTTTTCTAGCTTGCGAAAGGACGTCTTACGCCTCATGCCCTCCCGTTTCGAGATTGGTCCTGTATACAACACGAACCCCCGCGACAGAAAGACACTGCGAAACACATCCTCCTTCAAGCCATTGTCAAAAGAGCTGTGTTTCGATATCGATTTGACTGATTACGACGATATCCGAACTTGCTGCGACAAGGCGAACATCTGCAACAAATGCTGGCAGTTCATGACTATGGCCATCAAGGTGGTAGATGTCGCATTGCGAGATGATTTTGGATTCAAACACATCATGTGGGTCTACTCTGGACGAAGAGGAGCTCACGCCTGGGTTTGCGACAAGAAGGCGCGAAACATGGACGACCAGAAGCGTAAAGCTATTGCTGGCTACCTCGAAGTCATCAAGGGCGGTTCTCAGAGCGGGAAGAAGGTTAATGTCCGGAGACCGTTGCACCCCCATTTGACGTGAGTGATAACCTGAAGGATACATCACAAGCATCTAACTCTTGGACAGACGAAGCCTGGATATTCTCAAGACGCACTTCCAGGACGATGTTCTTGACATACAAAATCCTTGGGAATCAGCCGATCAAGCCGAAAAGCTTTTGCAATTGCTTCCGGATAAGAATCTGAATGACTCTCTACGTAAGAAGTGGGATTCATCTCCGGGCCGCGCCTCTACATCTAAGTGGGCGGACATCGATACGCTGGCCAAGACTGGAGCAAGCAAGAACCTCGATTCTAAAGCATTGCTGGAGGCTAAGCAGGACATTGTCCTCGAGTACACATACCCTCGCCTGGATATTGAGGTCAGCAAAAAACTCAACCATTTGCTGAAGAGCCCCTTCGTTGTTCATCCCGGGACTGGTCGGGTATGTGTGCCCATTGATACTAAGTCACTGGAGGATTTTGATCCACTTGGAGTTCCCACCGTTCAGAGTCTATTGCAAGAGATCGACCAATGGAAGGAGGAGGAAGAGAGCTCTGGGAAGAGCATCCAGGATTGGGAGAAGACCAGCCTGAAGCCCTATGTTGAGCAGTTCAGGTCTTTCGTACTAGGACTGATGAAAGATGAGAGGAATGTCAAGGTCAAGCGAGAGAGGGCCGAGCCCGAATCTATGGAATTCTAATTAATGATGACGTTTGTACGGCAACGAACCTGGACATGCAAAGGCGTTTTTGGAGTAACGGGCATTGTGTATGGCTTCGGGTAGAAGAACCATCAACTATTGAACAGAACCCATGTGTCTTGCCCCTCCTGATTGGTGCGCGTCTTCACGAACATTAGCGATCGCAACATCGACAAGATGCCACCAACCAGAACTTAAATACCCATGCTAACAATCCCCCGCAACGGCCCCGCATACGCCCCCCCAAGCCCCTTGGGTCCTGGTTCTAGCTTTCTCCAACTGCCGGAGCTGTGGGCCTAGGCTCCGTCTCCAACTTCTCACCGGAGTAATATGACGCTCTCATCGCTTCTGGGGGCTTTTACCCCGAATAGCACCGAAGCACAGGCTACGCGGGGAGAGATGACAGACGGGGCCTTCTATCTCTATCCCGTCGCCTCCGGTTAAATCACGTATATTAAGATGTAAGGTACGCCCTCGCCTTGACCAGGTTGTTGGTAAGTCGGGCCGGTCAAAGCTGTTCTTCTAACCATCTCATCTTGTTGTCCCCAAGATGTTGTTTACATCCCTACTCGCGGGTCTGACTCTGGCCGCCTCGGCCGTAGAGGCTTTCCCTCATCGTCCTCATGAGATCAGAACCTTCTCCAATAAGGTCATATTCGTGCCTCCGACGAATTATACGGATCCTCGTGTGCTCTATGCTCGCACTGCTGAGCTCCAGGACGGGACACTCCTCGCCACCTGGGAGAATTACTCCCCGGAGCCTCCGCCGGTGTACTTTCCCATCTTTGAAAGTAAGGATAGCGGCCTGTCTTGGAAAGAGATCTCTAAGGTCACCGATCAAGGCTATGGCTGGGGACTACGCTATCAACCGTTCTTGTACGAGCTGCCTATACCGTTCGGAGGCTTTCCCGCTGGAACTGTACTTCTTGCCGGGAGCTCTATTCCTACGGATCTTAGCAAGACACAGATCGATTTATACGCCAGCACGGATAAGGGACACACTTGGAAATTCGTCAGTCACGTCGCGGCAGGAGGTCGCGCCGTACCGAACAACGGCGAGACACCAGTATGGGAGCCATTCCTGATGTGAGTGGCAATCTCTTATAGAAATGTCCCGCAAGAGACAGAGCGGGCTGACAACTTCACAGGATTTACAAGGACCTCATGGTCATGTACTACTCGGATCAGCGCGATCCAGCCCACGGACAAAAACTAGTTCACCAGACGTCTAAGGATCTCAGGAATTGGGGTGCTGTGGTCGACGATGTCGCTTATGCTGAGTACACTGCTCGCCCCGGCATGACCACCGTAACTAAACTGCCCAATGGCAAGTATATAATGACCTATGAGTACGGCGGTGGCCCGGGTTACTCGTCATATACCTTCCCGGTCTACTACCGTATTGCTGCCAACCCCTTGGAGTTCAATTCTGCTCCAGGACATGCCATCGTTGCCAAAGACGGCACGGCGCCGATCGGAAGCCCTTACATCACCTGGAGCAGCGAAGGCGGAAAAGATGGAACTATCATTGTTAGTGATGGAAGTCATTCTGATATCTTCGTGAACCGCGCTCTTGGTGCGGACAACCAGTGGGAAAAGTATTCGACTCCACAGCCGGTAGCATACACACGCCATCTGAGGGTCTTTAGCGAGGATCCGAACCGACTGTTGATTATGGGAGCAGGACATCTTCCTCCAAGTACGACAAATAATGTCAGTCTGAGTGTAGTGGATCTGAAGAAGACCATACACCTCACTTAGGTTTGACAGTAATAGAGCGTCCATAGTTCGCTTAATAAGATGCCTCTAGCAGTCATGATATGCAATGCCATAGGTTTTAATCTTTTTGTATTGTGTTTTCATGCTAAGGAGCCAACTTAAGTAGCTTTTGCATCAATATCTGTAGCTTCGGGTATCACGTCATCAGACATTGAATTCTCTTCTTCGGCATTGCCATTTAGTTCGGCTTGAGAAGTAGGATCCTCTAACTCTCCGGTATGGCTTTCTGTTTCCTCTGCCTCGTCTCTCAACTTCCCTCCCTTTCTCTTTGGTATTACTGAAAGGAATGCTTCGCCCCAGTCACCGCACTCTAGCCACCTCGACATGATCTCCACGACATGATTCGTCGTGAGCACCTGTCGACTTTGCATTTTGATATACTCACCAATGGGCAATTTTGCCGTTTTGATGCCCCTTTCTTCGGCACGTCTGAAACAGAGGTTCTTCTCCCGATTTCGATCGACGATACCACCAATCACGTAAGATGTATATGGCTCCAGCCTCTCTAAAGTGTGAGGAGAGTCAGCTGTGAGGTACACGATGTTTGGCTCTTCGGGTATGGATTGCTTTTTAGGGGTTTCGGCGGTGACTAGGTCTTCATCTGATGGTCCATCTGACGTGGCGATCGGAGCGACAGCACCTGCCAAATCACCACCCCTTGGTCCCTTCATATAATCATGAGCCTGTTTGCCAGCTTCAACAAAGTCTTCCTTCAAGAAATGTACGGATGGCCACTTGAGATGGTGATTTTGTAGAACCGTCTCGAATCTTGTCTTGAGCTTCCCCTTCCATGAACTGACGAATATGTGTGACTGGTAAGCGGCCTGCCTGTTCATGGAATATGATCGGACGATCTGACTCGAGAGCGAGACGAGCTCTCCTTCTAACATATACTGCTCGAAATCGCAGTCGAGTATTATGGTAACCGGTACCTGTGTCTTCTTCGTCTGCGTTTGTTTCTGTGCTTGAAGAACCGCGACTGGGTCCAGACCCGCTGCCTCGAGCTCAGCAATCTTCTGGGACTTCTCAGCTCGTTTGCGAGCTTGCCGGTCATGTCTCTTCTCTTTCCGCAGTCTCTTGCGATCCTCTTTTCTCTCCTCCCATACACGTTGTCGCTTCAGCTTTTTCAGTTGGTTTTTTGACATCGGCTGCTGAGGCAAGCTTGAGGTCACATCCGCCCCGCCATCTTGTTGTGTTGAGTCTTCCATCTCGTCGTCAGACCCTGAGTTATCATCGTGAATTGTTGTGTCTTGGTAGAGTTCGGTTCGTTGGAGGACAGTATCGACGCCCAGCTCCGGTTGATGAGGGTTATCTCTCGACATCGTGCCTCTGGGATCAAGCTCTGTGCCTGGATTCATCTCCGTGCCCTCTATAGGAGCTGCCATGGCGCCAGGGCTCGTGATACGATTCAAGGTCAGTAAAGTTTAGAGACGAATGGCGGGGCTCAATTGGGAAAATTGCTTAGGACCCCTCCAGCCGGCAGAAAAAGTCGCCTGGAGCAATTACATGCAGGCGGTCAGCCGCTATTTCCACTTTTGCTTAGCGTACCCGATAACCTGGGGGTAGTCGCGTCTTCTCTAAAGTGGATTTGAGTCCTCGACGCGTCTCCCACTTTAACCTGCTGTGGAGGCAAGTGCAACTCGGCAGAACACCAACGCAGAACTATCAATCCAGCTTCATTGTCTCTAGCCATTCATTCCTGCCCGTGTTACTGTGTATTCTTGTTACGAGCCGTGCCAATTGTCAGCTTTGGGCTGTTCTCGTCAATTGTTCAGATTACCTTGCTGTCTTCACAATGTCGGCTCGACCAGAGTTGAAGGTTAACCTCATACACTTATAGATAACGTGGACTGCTGCTTACAAGCTCGTTACTTTAGGTCGATGACGAACACGGTTTCATCCGGTTCTTCAAGTCTCTGCCAGCTCTGGACGATGATACGATCCGGATATTCGACCGAGGAGACTGGTACACGGCTCACGGGGAGGATGCCAACTTCATTGCGAGAACGGTACGCCGTGCAGTAGTCTCGTTACACTTTACTTTAGCTGACGAGTGGATATATAGGTCTACAAGACTACCTCTGTGGTTCGACAACTCGGTCGCAATGATCACACCGGCCTTCCCTCCGTCACAATGACTATTACAGTCTTCCGTCAATTCCTCAGAGAAGCCCTGTATAAGTTGGGCAAGCGTGTCGAGATATACGCCAGCAGTGGTGGCCGTATGAATTGGAAGATTGTAAAGCAAGCATCACCAGGTAACTTGCAAGACGTTGAAGAGGATCTCGGTGGTCAATTTGAGTCCGCTCCAATGATCCTTGCCGTGAAGATTACAGCGAAAGCATCAGAGGCAAGAAATATTGGTGTTTGCTTCGCAGATGCCAGCGTCCGAGAACTCGGAGTAAGCGAGTTCCTTGACAATGATCTGTACTCTAACTTTGAGGCCCTTCTCATTCAACTCGGCGTCAAGGAGTGCTTGATCCAGGCCGACAAGGCCGACAAGGACAAAGACCCTGAGCTGACAAAGCTCAAGCAAATCATCGATAATTGCGGCGTTGCCATATCGGAACGGGCCGTGGGAGAGTTCGGCGTGAAAGATATTGAGCAAGATCTGACAAGGTTACTGAAAGATGAGCGTGCTGCGACATTGCTGCCCCAGACCGATCTCAAGCTCGCCATGGGCTCTGCGGCTGCTCTGATCAAATATCTTGGCGTCATGCACGATCCCTCGAACTTTGGTCAGTACCAACTGTATCAGCATGATCTGTCACATTTCATGAAGCTGGACGCAGCAGCGTTGAAGGCACTTAATCTCATGCCTGGTGCCAGGGATGGCTCAAAGACAATGAGTCTATATGGACTGCTGAATCACTGCAAGACGCCAGTAGGAAGCAGGCTGCTCTCACAATGGCTGAAGCAACCCCTTATGAGCAAGGATGAGATTGAAAAGCGGCAACAACTCGTCGAGGCTTTTGTCAATGACACTGAACTTCGACAAACGATGCAGGAGGAACACCTCCGGTCGGTGCCAGATCTCTACAGACTGGCCAAACGCTTCCAAAGGAACAAGGCCAACCTTGAGGACGTAGTCAGGGCATACCAGGTGGTAATCAGACTGCCCGGGTTCCTTGGCACGTTAGAGGGAGTGATGGACGAGACTTATCGAGATCCATTAGATGCAGCATACACTACCAAGCTCCGAGAGCTATCCGATAGTCTCGTCAAGCTCCAGGAGATGGTAGAGACTACGGTTGATCTTGATGCTCTGGACAATCATGAGTTCATCATCAAGCCAGAGTTTGATGATAGCTTACGCATCATCCGCAAGAAACTTGATCGACTTCGCTCCGATATGGACAGAGAATTCTCCGAAGCAGCTCGTGACTTGGGTCAAGAAAGGGAAAAGAAGATCTTCCTCGAAAACCACAAGGTACATGGATGGTGCATGCGACTCACTCGACAAGAAGCCGGATGCATCCGTAACAATAACCAATATCAGGAGTGCTCGACACAGAAGAATGGCGTTTACTTCACTACCAAGAATCTACAAGCACTTCGTCGCGAGTTTGATCAGCTGTCTCAGACTTATAACAAAACTCAGAGTGGCTTGGTCAACGAAGTCGTGGGTGTGGCAGCGTCATACTCTCCGGTCTTGGAGAGGCTGGCAGGTGTTCTAGCTCATTTGGATGTCATCGTCTCATTTGCCCATTGTTCAGTTCATGCTCCTGTCTCATACGTCCGGCCCAAGATTCACCCTCGTGGAGAAGGCCAGACAGTCTTGAAGGAGGCTCGTCATCCGTGCATGGAGATGCAAGACGATGTCCAGTTCATAACCAACGACGTTGAGCTGACTCGGGATAAGTCATCATTTCTGATCATTACTGGACCAAACATGGGTGGAAAGTCGACCTATATCCGTCAGATTGGCGTTATCGCCCTCATGGCACAGGTTGGCTGTTTCGTACCATGTGGCGAGGCGGAGTTGACTATATTTGACTCGATCCTTGCTCGTGTTGGGGCCAGTGACTCTCAGCTCAAAGGTGTTTCCACCTTCATGGCCGAGATGTTAGAAACGGCGAACATTCTGAAATCCGCAACTGCCGAATCTCTAATCATTATCGATGAGCTTGGCCGTGGTACGTCCACCTACGACGGCTTTGGCTTAGCATGGGCGATTTCGGAGCACATCGTTAAGGAGATTCGTTGCTTCGCTTTGTTCGCCACGCATTTCCACGAGCTCACCGCGCTTGCGGACCAGTACCCCCAAGTCACCAATCTCCATGTGACGGCACACATCAGTGGCACTGGCAACGGAAACGAGAACGACAAGCGCGAGGTTACCCTTCTCTACAAAGTTGAGCCAGGCATCTGCGATCAAAGCTTTGGTATCCACGTGGCAGAGTTGGTACGCTTCCCAGACAAGGTGGTGAGGATGGCGAAGCGTAAGGCCGACGAGCTTGAAGACTTCACAACGAAGCATGACGAGACCCTTGGCATGCAGTACAGCAAGAAGGACGTTGAAGAAGGCAGTGCCTTGCTCAAGGAGGTCCTGGTCAAGTGGAAAGATGAAGTCAAGGGTGGAGAGATGACCAAGGAGGAAATGGTTGCTAAGATGAAGGAGCTGGTCGCAGCTGATGAGAAGCTGCTCGCAAACCCCTTCTTCCAATCGGTCAAGGCACTGTAGAATCACTTGCGGTGTATGTACTACGATCATTTTGCTGCTTCAATGAACGACTGTACCAATTATAGGGTGGCAAATGGCGTTTAAGGATCGGACGGCACGGAACAATACTGGTAATGAACGATGCTATGGTAGGCCTTCTCTAGCTTTACAATAGGAGTGCTGCATCCTTGCGACAAAGCAATCTATAATTTACCAATACGTCAGCCATTGCTTTACCTAAGAAGTGGTAATAAAGTATTGTAAAATGATCCATGTCAGAAGAAAGGTGAACAGAAGGTTAGGTTTCGAAACATAGTTGCCAAAGACAACTTCATAAACAGCCTCTAGACCATTCATCATTGGGTTGAGGGGGATGATTGGAATTTAGGAGAAAGGCGACTTACCACGCTTTGTTGCGTCGACAGGCAATCATGATTGGTTCAGGTCGCAAGAGACGGAAGTAGCATCGAACAGTAGCCGAAACGCAAAATGTCGTCGTCTGGGCCAACTATGCGTAATACAGAAAACAACGAAGTTCCTCGATTGGAGGGGATCAGATTTGATCCTAGTTCTATATGTACAAGGCATGATCTGGTGCCTAATTTCCGTCGGCTCGGACGGGATTGATTTCAACGCCGTACTTCTCCTTGAGTCTCGCGCGCCTCCGTTCCTCGTAGCCCGGTGGGTGGATAGCTGTCGACCGTTAGATGATTTGTCTTCCACGTGGGAATATGGCGTCACTCACCTCGTCCTTCTCCCACTTCTGCTAGTGTCTCCTCAATTGGCCGCCTCCTGTTCCTTCGCAGCCACTCTTTCCTGTCAAACTCGTCGACTTGTTCCTCTTGAGACCACTTCTTAGCTCCCCAAAGGTGACCGCCAGTATAGTCGAAAACCGTGAGTGCGACGGCTGCGAAGGCTCCCCACCCTATGACTTGGGGCATACTCCTAGCTGCAGGATCATCTAGTAAGCAGGCCTGCCCTCAAAAGCAATCAAATCAACGGGAACATACCTCGCAAAGCCATTGTAGCGCCGCCTAGGAAACCACCGATAGTTTCATTGTAGTGATCATTCTTCTCCCGTAGATTTGCAGCTGCGCGTCTTGAGAATTCGTAGACACCGCCAGCGGCAGCTGTTTGACAGAATGGTCAGCAAAAGTGACCAATTGGCCATATACAGGAGTGCTGGAGGGTCTATTGGCGGCTCACCGAAGCTCATGATCACTCCTCCACCTCTGGTAAATACACCCCAAGCTCCAACATTCTGCTTTGCCAGAGAGTTTTGAATGGCGGCGGTGAACAGACCAATGCCACCGGTCGCCAAAGCCCCCTTGACGCCGCCTGAGACAGCGTCGACTGGATGGTAGTGATCGTCCCCTTGAGGCGCCATTGTTTGCTGGAGTTGAGTGCGTGGAGTTGAGCAATTAAGGTCGTCGGGAGCATTTGGCGAGGATGATTTGACGTGCCGAAACTAAAATGGAATAGCAATGGTCTGATTGGCTGGGGTGTGCTGGCTTTAGCGACGCCTCAGTCACGTGGGACGGGATGTGGCTGAGGCATGGCTGGGATGCTGCATAGATGGGTGACGCCTAGAGACACTTCAAAAGGCGACAAGGCTGCGTCAGCCAGGCATCGTGCAAACGCCGCCACTACGTTTGACTTAGACCGTTTGCCGCGTATGCCACCTCCTTGACTAATACTTGATTGACGTGGATCGAGTGAAGTGTCGGGAGCTTTCCATTCTGTACTATTGCACCTTCATCTTATTTGATTCTATCTCCGCCTGCCTGTCTCTTCTTCCATCTCTAAGCATTCCTGTTCATATCCTTTGTCAACCATCATCAACCTCTGTCACTGCCCAATTCTTCTGCTGACAAGACGACTGATACGACTTGTGAAAGATAATTTTGATACCCTGGGATCTACTGTTAGAGAAATATCACTCGAAACGAAGCAGACCCTCTTGAATTGGTCAGCCGCCAGCCAGGCGCTCATCAGCCGCAAACAGTACTCTATCTCGCCCTTCACCTGCCTCGTGTCAACAACCAGTCCGCTTTTTACATAACAGTGCATAAGAGGGCGGTCATAGCTCCTTTTTCCCTCAAAGCACCTTCCATTTCCTTTTGAAACTTGGTTCTCTAAGAGTAAACGATGTCATAAGGGTTGGCCCTCATCTACTCAATCAGTGAGCAGCACTCTTCTCCTTTCACCCATCAGCACCCCTCTGCACATTTCCTTCATTCATAATCATGATCATTGAAGAGCTGCCTTGGTGGCAGGTCTCCTGACGGCCTGGCCATGAATTCTCGAGACCAGCCATCCGCTGACCTTCTCAAGCAAATAGTCAACTGCTTTGTGGCCGGCTTGAAGATGGGTGAAGCTCAGTACCAGCCCGGAGTGCGGCAGACACGTTCTCAGGGATCGGTATATCCGCCGCCGGAGACGGCCCCTGGCGATGCCCAGCCGCTGTTCGATGAGACTGGTGTTCTTGGTGAGTTCGATTCTTTGGATATCTTGGCGTGTTTCGCACCATCCTACGTTAGTCGCTAACCTTACGTTGCTAGGCCGCCTTGCGTCGCGATGGATCAAAGACTTCGTGACTGGAAAACTCGTTGAAAGCGAGAGGCCAGATGTGCAAGCCCTTCTCGAGTGTCAATTTGGCATCAATTCCAACAACAATCATAATCATGACATGGTGCTCATTCCCAGCCAATCCAAGTACAAAGACGTGGACCAAGGCGGAGAATGGCTCCTCTCATGCCATTGTGTCAAATGCCGGCGTTATTATACCTTGCGCGGGAGCCAAAACCTGGACACTTGCGACGGAAAGACGTATCGCATGCATCATCTTGTCCAGGTCGCCAACCTAGAAAATGTGCAAGCCGAAGTGCAAAAGTATTGGCCAATAATCGGCCGCGTCAGATACGGATGCTCGGCATCAGTCTGTCAACTGACCATGACTATAGAGGTCACAGAACCTCGTATCCCCGGGTATTGGGCTGACAAGCTGGTCAACCGGGAGAGCTCGCTGAATAGACTTCATAAACTCCTCCTGGAAGATCCCGCTCGATTCCAGGAACTGAACTCGGCAGATAAGATAAATCGACTTCTCCCGATCAATTATCTCCAGCAGTACCTTACCGACGTCTGCTTTCCGCTGCAGAAGAATTCCGACGGTACTAGAACCATCGTTGCCCGACTGGAGCAGCCCCTCAAAGTTGCTCTGAGGAACAAAATTCTTCAGACATGCTTTGGAGTCGAGTTTGATGATCTATTTCGATTAATGGAATTCGACTTGAACGAGGATGGCGATTATATGTTGATCCCTCGACTGGAAGTCCGAACAACAGATTGGGAGTTACCGAATACAAGAAGAGCTTATTTCGAGAGCTTGAAGCTAGAAGCAGACATGCTCTGCGAACAAGAGGGGATTGCCCCAAGCCCTAGCCGTGAAGGAGGGCGGCTGCCTGTCCAAAACACCCCTAACCTCGAAAAAATCTTGTACCGCTTGTTAGCTGTCACCACTGCCGAAACCTCTGCGAAATCTCAACTGGATCAGTATAATCCGCAAGACTTTGATACCCTTGGTGCCAATATTACTACTCACGAGAGTCTTCTCTGGTTTGCTTGCAGAGCCCAGGGACAGAACAAGCCATCGATGCGTAGCGCCGTCTTCGAGGCTCTCAAGAGGGTCAGTGATGGCCGTGTTCACAATTCCGAAGAACTTCGGAAATATCTGGAGGAAGAAGAGTTCGAGCTCGCCAAGCTGCAGTCGCTTCAGGAAGCTCAGCCTCCGATCTCCGATGCGTTGTCAGAAGCGTATCGAAGCTTCGGCATCGACCAGCACTCGCTCAACGACGATTATATCCTGAATGTCTTCAGAACATACATGGACTCTGCTCAGTCCCCCATTGTCAAGATTAAGCATCGGCAAAATCTATTGACCATTGGCAGAGCCAGGGATAGCAAACCAATGATTGAAGAAGCTCTTGCCTTGACCAGAGACGAAGCCCGCAACATCCTAGCTCAGGACGTCTCTGACGATGTCGATCCCACCGTGGTCATTATGCTGGCAAACATTCGGGTTGACGACCTAGGCACAAATGCCAAACCTATGATCGCAGCTTCATTACGAGTTTTCAGCGAAATTTATCCTCCCTACAAGCGAGAGTATATTGAATTAGCTGCACAGCTTGATCCGGAAGGACACTCATGGCTACTGGCGACCCTTGACAATGATGCAAATGATCAAGAGGAGGAAGTCAACCTTAACATACCTCCTGGCCTTTACAATATCCGCAATACTTGCTATTTAAATAGCATTCTGCAATACTTCAATACTATCAATCCTGTCCGGGACGTTGTCCTGAATAAAGATCGGTTCAGGCTTGAAAATACCGATGAGAATCGATCGAGCCGTCGCCTCGGTGGAACAGGCAGCCGGCTTACAAAAGGCGAGGCGCTTCTCGCCCAAGCATGTGAGTAAGGTTTCCAATTTGATGATCCATCTGCTAACCTGCGATAGTCATCGATGAGCTTCACAATCTGTTCACAGAACTACAAGCGTCGCGTGGCAAAGGTGTCACCCCCAAACAGCGTCTGGCAATAGCTGCCCTAAAAACAGCTGAGCAGCTCTCGAAGCCCCCTCGCTCAAGGGCTCAAGGTCCAGACGTTGGCCCTGCGAACGGGAGCTACCCTGCACCGCCGCCGTTGCCGGCTAGACCATCGCCGATGCCGCCCGTCCTCTCCGCACACAACTCTTCGACCGGACCAACCGTAACGGTCAATCCTGTTCCGGAGCACCTAGAGACCGCTAGCAACGTGAGCTCTCAGACTCTTGTAAATCAGCCTGATGACGAGGACCACACATACATCAATCTCTCTCACAACGCTACCGCTGATGAGGAGGCTGCGACAACTACTCCGAGCAGTAGTCAGGCAGGCTTGGCCAATACATCTTCAGAGAAGAATGCGATCGTAGAACTCCGTCACGGTTTACATGCGTCGAGCAATGAGTCCAAGAACGTTGTTGGAGTGGATGAGGATGCCAAGATGGAGGATGCACCCGCTGAGAATGATGATTGTGTCGAGGACAATATTCTTGCAAACCTGAATGACATTTCTGAAAAAGGCACAGATCAGAACGATGTCGAGGAAGTCATGGGAAATATTCTGGAGCATCTCCAGGCAGCACTCAAACCCACGGGAACCGATGAAGCCACTGGATTCCAAACAGACCTTATCACGGAGACATTTTACTGGACAGCCGCCAAGTATTTGCGCGAAGTGGATGTATCAGGCAAATCAAATACTCCATACAGACGCTCTATCGAACCATCCCGTTGGATTACCGCGTTCCCAGCGAAAGGCGGGGATATTGACCTATATACAGCTCTGGATAGTAGTTTCGATCAAGAATTCCAGGAGGGCGGCTTTGAGCAGTTCACGTCAATCGCACAAGCATCTCCAATTGTCCATATCTACCTCCAGCGCAGCCAGAGTGAAGCTGGCGTATCGGGACGTAATAACAATATCGTCCAGATCCCCGAGGTCTTGTATCTGGATCGTTACATGGAAGCTGCTGAAGGTACGGACTTGTTCAAGAGAAGGGAACGCAGCTGGAATATCAAGAGACTCCTACAAGAACTCGAGAATTCATCAGCGTCAAAAATCGAGGTGCCTTCCGCGTCAAAAAATGCGTCAAAAATCGATGAGCCTGACTACGAAGTGATCGACCATTTCACAGGTACTGATGGCGACCATTCGGCTGATGATGGCGAATCCCCATTTTCTATCATCAGTGGAAAACTTGCGGGCGATCTGGATGAGGAACACATATATAGGGGCAATGACACTTCAGACAACGACGACAGTGTCATGACAGGTTCATCCGTGTCGAAAAACGCTCAGCTAAGCCCTGACACTGCCTCAGCGTCAGAGGCTGAGCAAAAACGTAAAAAATTTGCTTACGAACAAGAACTAAACTCTCTTTTCTCAGACCTGACACAACACCGGTACCGTCTTCATGCCGTCATTTGTCATGGCGGTAACCTCACGTCAGGTCATTACTGGGTGTTCATCTACGACTTTGAGGAGAATCTATGGCGTCGCTATAACGATGAGAAGGTCATAGTTGAGGAAGATTCCACAAAGGTGCTCGCGGAACTCAACAGCTCCAGTAGTCCGTACTACATCGCTTATGTTCGCGAGAGTGACGTGCACGAGCTCGTCAGCGTTCCCCGGCGACTTGCAGCTCTACAAAAGCTGAACCCCAGCACTCAGGATATCGAGATGCAGGATGTTCACGTCGAGCACGTCGAGGACGGAGACGAGCCTCCTCCCTACACTCCCGATCTTGCTTAGAATGCAAAGAAGCGTTCACATGGTTCTACTTGCTTGGGGTCTGATGATGATCCTCCTCACCCCCCGAAGAAGTCTCAACGTCGCTCGTCAAACGTCAAGAAAATCGTTTTGAAAAAGTAGAAGTGACAGCATAGTCTGACAGTTGGCTTGAGGCGTTTGTTTTGTTGAAGTTGAGCTTTGCATAGGTCATATTTGGCATGTTACAATATGTCTAGTACGTTATAGGGAAGGACGGCCTTGCTGCGTGACGATCTAGAAATGTTGTTAGAGTAAAACGGATACCTCTTTGTATTGATGTCAATGTAAATTGTACCACTGTCTATAGAACTTGACGTGCGTCTATTATTTTGGTTCCATCAAGTGAGGTTTATTGGGCAATTCGTGAACTGTTTCTGCAGGTTCGTCATAATCACGATCGTAGCGGCCGCCCGGGACCTTGATCTATTAGAATGCTTTGTCCTGAATAATTGACTATATGATGTCCATATCACAGACCGCTTTTCATTTTCAGCTATGTCACCTCGGAGCCAAGAGTAGAATGCTCTCTCGAACGAGAAGAAAATAATAAGAAGCGAAGTTTGATTCTTTCGTTATCAGAAAACGCCAGCTAAATCCCCTGTGCAACCCATTTCGTCACAGTCGTTCAGTCCAGTTACATGAATTTCCCCGGACCCCAATGGGTCGTTTTTTAAGCAAAAGTCTATTTCCCGTCTATTAGTGACACCCAGATTCCCCACTTTAACCGGCCAGCTTGTTGACGGCGTTCTTCCACAGTCCAGTGTGGGGCCAGGTCCAGTTCTTGAGGAAGGCTGGGTCAATGCCGTTCTCGAAGGCCTCGTTGCGGGCCTTGATCTGGGCGTTGAGGAGGGCGGATCGGGCCGCGGCGCCGCGGTTGTGTAGCGCGGGCATGCGGTCGATGGCGTCCATGGCCAGACTGAATCGATCGGTCTGGTTGCGGATGGCCAGCTCAAGAGGGGTATCGATGTTGCCCTTCTCCTTGTAGCCGCGGACGTGCAGGTTATGGCTGCCTGGTCGCTTGTACGTCAGACGATGTACGAGCCATGGGTAGCTGTGGAAGTTGAAGATGACCGGCTTGTCGTCGGTGAATAGGGCGGTCCACTCAGCGTCGGTAAGACCGTGCGGGTGGTCGACGTGGCTGATCAGCTTGAATAGATCGACGCAGTTGACGCATCTGATCTTAAGCTCGGGGAAGTGCTGGAGCAGCAAGTCGATGGCAGCAAGTGACTCGTGGGTGGAGATATCACCGCAAGAAGCCATGACTAGGTCGGGCTCCTGACCGGCATCAGTGCTGAACTGGGGCCAGATACCGATACCCTTGGTGCAGTGCTCGACGGCAGCCTCCATGGAGAGGTATTGCAGATGCTCCTGCTTATCAGCGACAACAACGTTGACGTAGTTGGATGAACGCAAGCAGTGATCCATGACGGACAACAGGCAGTTGCCATCAGGTGGCAAGTAGATACGGACGACCTCGGGGTCCTTGTTGGCGACGACATCGAGGAAACCAGGATCTTGGTGAGTGAAACCGTTGTGATCCTGTCGCCAGACGACGGCAGTCAAGAGGATGTTGAGGGAGGCGATCTTTACACGCCAATCCACCTCGTTACACTTCTCGAGCCACTTGCAGTGCTGCGAATTTTGTTAGTAAAGGACAGATGTGTGGAAACGGATGTAATCTTACCTGGTTGACCATGGAGTCGATGACGTGAATGAAGGGCTCGTAAGAGTTTAGCATACCGTGGCGACCGCTGAGAATGTAACCCTCAAGCCAACCCTCGCAGGTGTGCTCGGATAGCATCTCCATAACACGGCCAGCTGGGGACAGGTTGCCGCCGTTGGCATCTTCCTCGAAGTACTCGCCCATCCATACCTTCTGTCCCGCCTCGTAAACCTTGGAGAGCTTGTTGGACTCGGTCTCATCAGGGCCGAACAAACGGAAGTTGGTCTGGTTCTTGGCGATGATATCGCGCAAGAAGCCAGCCATGTTGGTCATGGAGGCGTCCATTGTGACACCCGGCTTATCAACCTTAATAGCATAATCTCTGAAGTCGGGCATCTTCAGCGGCTTGCGCAGGATACCGCCATTGCCGACGGGGTTGGCGCTCATGCGACGGTTGCCAGTGGGGCACATGGCAGCCTTGAGCTCTTCGCTGATGCGGCCATCCTTGCCGAAGAGCCTGTCGGGCTCGTAGCTGCGCATCCACTGCTCGAGAAGCTCAAGATGCTTGGGGTTGGTGGCAACATCGGTGATGGGGACCTGGTGAGCACGCCAGAAGCCCTCCAGGTAGTTGTTGTCGATCTTTCGGGGACCGGTCCAGCCCTTGGGCGTGCGGAGGACGATCATGGGCCACAGCGGCCGGGTCGCCTTGCCGGAGTCACGTGCCTCCTTCTGGTACTTCTTGATGTCGAGCACGGCCTGCTCCATTGTGGCGGCCATGGCCTGGTGCATCGTGTCGATATCGTCACCCTCGACAAAGTACGGTGTCCAGCCGTAACCAATGAAGAGGTTCTCGAGCTCCTTGTGACTTACACGGGCGAGAATTGTGGGGTTGTTGATCTTGTAGCCGTTGAGGTGGAGAACGGGCAGTACAGCACCGTCGCTGATGGGATTCAGGAATTTGTTGCTGTGCCAGGCAGTGGCCAGCGGACCGGTTTCGGCCTCACCGTCACCGACCATGGTGAGGGCAATGAGGTCCGGGTTGTCGTAGACGGCGCCGAAGGCGTGGGAGATGGAATAACCCAGCTCTCCACCCTCGTGGATACTGCCGGGAGTCTCGGGAGTAGCGTGAGAGCCAATTCCGCCGGGGAAAGAGAAGGACTTGAAGAACTTCTGCATGCCCTCTACGTCCTCGGACTTGTCGGGGTAGACCTCCGAGTAGACACCCTCCAGGTAGGACTGGGAGAGGACGGCCGGAGCACCGTGGCCGGGGCCGGACACGAAGAATGCATCAAGGTCGTACTTTTTGATCAGACGGTTGAAATGCATCCATGTGAAAATCTGGCCGGGAGCGGAGCCGAAGTGGCCCAGCAGACGTGCCTTGATGTGCTCCAATTTCAGGGGCTCTCGTAGGAGGGGGTTTTCCCGCAGGTAGATCATACCAAGGGACAGATACAGTGAGGCTTTCCAGAAGTCATTGTATTCTTTGAGCTCCTTCTCGGACAGCGGAGTGCCCTTGACGGTGGACCGAGCTGGCCCGTATGGGCTGATGCTCTCAACCTTGTCGCTCATTGTTGCCAATGGCGTTTGCCAAGGTATACTTGGGGGGGTTGTGATGGTGGTGAGGTATTTGTGTTACGAACTCTCAGAGGGGTTCGTGAGGAGAAGCAAGGTGATGGCTTGGCTGTTCCACCCTGCTGTCGTGGTGATGAGTGATGATGTTATCTTGACAAGCAAGAGCTTGATGATGATGAGAAGGAAAGTAGAAGGAAGGAAGGGGGAGAGTTGATGGTGGCTGAGGACGGGTAGAGTTTATATATGTCTTAGGCAAAGGGGGTTTTAAGATCAGGAACATCTGATGGAGGGCAGACGAGTGAGAGAGAGCGAGTGTGCCCTGTTGATGGGGAGCAAATTTCTTACGCGGCTCATGGAATATGGATGGGAATGGCATGGGATGGGATGGGATAGCCAGCCTAGAGCTCCGGAAGCTACCACCTACCCTGAACCTAGCTACCCAGTTACCTTCCCTGACTACTGACTTACACAAACGGAGGGAGGGATGATTGACCTGATCGAATCGATCACAGTCAGCTCATCTGAGGGGCGATGCAGCGAGGTTCCGCCGTAACGGTTTGGCACCAGAGGAATGCGTCGACACGGCAAAATGAGGTGGGGGGACTGGCCGTTCGGTCGCATTTGGAAGTACCTACCTTACCTGCTCTGCCTACGTACACGTACATACTTAGCATCACACGCAGACGGATGTGGGATGCTGTGGATGGCCCAGGACGGTGGCATGTAGACCGTCACACAACCAGGGAACGTGGGGACTTGGCCTCGCCTGTCAAACGGCAGCTCGTGTCAGTGTGTGTCCCTCCGTATCGCCTCTCCCGTAGTGGACAATGGGTACATGCACTTGCACTTGCACCACCCCTGCCCTGAGTATTCAGGGTAAGGTAAGAAGACGCAGGTATCCAGAATCTGGGCGTGGTTCTGGGCTGATACGGTAAGGCCAGAATTGGTACGGTGGGAGGGCCGGGAGCCACAGAAAAGACTTCGCAGGGCGCCGGACCGTAAAGCGAAAGTCAAGCCAGTTTTGAGACGTCAGTTTTGCAGGCGCGGGCTCCAATTAGCAGAGGCGAGATTGATTTGCTGGGCTGGCTGGATGCGGATGATGCAGAAGAATAGTGGGCTTGTGCATGTCTGTCGGCGCCGCAGCATGGGCGAGTGCCCGCCCAGGTGGGTGAAAAGTGGCCCAATAGGGTGGCCCTGCGAGGGAGCTAAAAGGTGGTCTGATTCTGACGAGCCCAGAACTGCCCTCTCCCAGACTCCCCTCTCGACACATACTATGCAGTAGCTTCCATCGACACTTTGCTGCGGACCCGACCTGCAACCTCTCTGGATACCTGGATACATGGATACTCGATACAGATCTCTCCAATGCTCCATCCGTCTTCCCTGTCGTCGTGCAGAAAACCCGCAGATGGCTCTCCTCCATCGCCCACCAGCCACCATCGCCTGCATCAAGTTGGATATAGCATCAGGCACTTCGTACGCATGCGGAAGAAGCTGTGCACTCCAGCCAAGGATCATCGCTTTCGGCCTGGGTTCCTTGTGTAAGAGCCCCTCCACGCATCGCTCCACGATTCGTGCAGGTTTCTTCTACATAGTACGCTGCAGCTGTGCTCGCTGTGATAGCAAACTGGCAGCGCCTCGCAAGCCACTCGTGGTCCAGTACATGCCAGAGGGTTTAGGTAGGCCAAGCTGTGTCAGTCACTGTGGCTACCTCCCTGGCCTTTACCTAACACTATGCCTCTAGAACCCCATCGCAGACGCATGCGGATAGGGCAAGAAGCTACTCTCTCCTCGGCCAGAGCTGGGAGATGGGAGGCTTTCTCGGCGCATCCAAGCCGAAAGTCTAAAACGGCGCTATCGGTCCTTCAGATGCCTTGAGATGCCTCGAGATGCCTCGAGATGCAGATCCGTGACATGAATAAGCGCGCAGATTGGCCGCCTGCAGAGCTCATCGAGGCATCATGGATGCACTTGATTAATTCATGCTTCACACGTCCGCCCTCGCCAGTCAAACCTACCCCTCCAGCAACCCCTCCATTGTGTCCCTATGGATATTTGTGGATGTCTGTGCCACGGCGGGGTTTGCATGTACGCCAATGCCCCTCTCGATATCTCACTGACCAGGCCAAGTATAAGAAATGCACAGGAAGGTAGGTTGCCCAGAAACGGCCGTTTGATGCAGGCGGTCTCATGGCACGCTTTGCTGTGTGTGATGATACTATTCCCAGCGACTGCTACAATCCGATGGTGCTGTGAGACACACGGGCAGGGACGAGGTCCATTCCCCGGCCTCGACCTGGTTGGTGCCCATAGCTTTTCTTAGGTATGACGGAGGTTGCCAGGTCGCCGGGAGCCCACCCTATACGGTCCGTCTCACTCACTGCACAGGGCCAGGCTGCCAGGTCCTGGCCTGTGAGGCCCCTGGGACGGCGGCGGCGTGTGCGGATGGCGGCAGGCTGCGGATTAGAAAACACCTGATGTTTCCTTCCAGGCCACAAGTATCATTCAAAGCCAGTTATGCAGGGTTCTTGACGGCCCAGACTGCTGCATGCTACCTTATCTCGCTGCACCCAAGGACCGGAATCATGGTTTTGCTCTCGCCTGAGTAAGCGGCCCAGCGAATCAGCGCGCCAATCTGGCATCTTCTCTTCGTTCGGAGTCTCCCATGCGACCGTTGGGAAGTTGGATGGAGGATGCGCCATCATGGAATTTCGAGATCGTCGATGCGACCTCGCCTGGGATTTCTGGCGTCTCCGTCCGTCTTGCTAGTGGTGGTCTTGACTGCCGTAACCCATGCAAGCTCACGTCAATGTACAGTTAGTAGGTTCTGTTGAATTGTGCCTGGCTTGTCTTTTTTGCCTCATACCTCATACCTACTCCATCAGGGGATAGGCTAATGAACGTCAACTTCGTCTTCCTTGTGCGCCTAACCTAGCATTCATTCAGTGATTGATTGATTGCTTGATGAGACCGACCGGATGAAGGCTTGCAGCATGCCAGTGGCTTAACAAATCGTCCTGTAGCATACGACTGGCAGGCCTCATTTGCCTCGTCTACGCCGGCAGATGGTTCGACGCTTCATCACAGTCTGGCAAGCGACGGGCAATATCTGGCGAAAAAATTTGACATTTTGATGGAGCTGAAGATAGCTATCGCCAGTGGTTGCGAGGCGCGAGCGAGCGAATTTGCGGTGCAACGTGTTTTCCCACTGGTGCAGGCCTGGCAACGGAGATTTGGACCCCTAGAATCATCAGATTTAGCGGCAGCGGTGAATAGCTTTACGATCCCATCGGCTGCCGTAGTGGGGGCGCAACGTGGGCTGAGGAGCTAAATATCACCTGTTTCCAAGACGGCCCTTTTTTCAGGGTCAACACCAGCCTTTGGAACTGCATACCCAAGTAGTAAACGCATGCAAATCCTGGATCGGCCGCTGGGCTAGGCTGACTGATATCTGGATTCCTGCTGGATGATTTGCATCATTTTACAGGGCGAGGCAAAAAAAGTAGAGAAAACTCCGTTTCATAACGGTGTGCCCTCTCCGTTTAGACCGATTCGGTCCGCCAAAAGACAAGCACGAGATACTTGGACTCACTACCTTACCTACCTACCTAAGAGTAATAATAATCATGCATACCGTGATTACCTAAGGCATTCAACGCGCCTTCGAGGTAGATGTCTCTTTTCAGGTTGGCTGGAACCGTAGGTACCGCGGCCTATACCTTGTTGGTTGCTGTTGTTAGTTTGCCGACCCCGTCCCATTTTCATGATGTCCCTTCTTCGGTAGTTCATCGCTCTTGCCTCCTTTAAAAGACTCTAGGAACGACCCGGGCCCCCAGCTTTCTTTTCCCAATTTTCTATTACTTTCGGCTCCTGTATATGTTGTATCTAACTACTAGGTCTCGCGGAACATTTTCATATACAATACACATAATGTAATTCATACAGGAGCCGGCCTCTTTTATTTGAAGAGGCTATTTTGATCTGGATGCAGCGAACGTGGCTCGCCTAGCCCCATGGCGATCTACCTTATCCTGCCGCTACCATTAGCAGCTGTCAGAGATAGTTGTCTAAAGCCCGCAACCAACGGAACTGCGACCCGTCATCCGTCGAGTGCCCCATGGGAAGGAGCGGTAACTGGACGGATACGCTGGTCATTCTGCAATTGCAATCAGTAAAACCGTCTGGCATATGAGAACCCATGTGCCTGTGAGTGAATGCAAGGGCTACGACAGAGCTCATTTTGGCAGGAAGCTCTGCTTGAGGAATCCAAAGGGCTGCGGGAGCGCCCGTGAAAGAGGAGTGCTGTGCTGCCTCGGCTGCGAAGAGTCAGGTCGCTGTGGGATCGATTAGAGGTGGAGTGACAATTGAAAAGCTCTCTCCGGGTACTTCACGGCAACGCCAACGGGCCACCGATCTACGGTGCACTCGCGACTCACGAATTCGCCCTCAACTTTTCGTCCGTCATCCGACATGTCGGCCACAACGAACATGCGGCCTGCACCGAACATCGAGGAGGGTCGGGAAACCCGGCATTGCAAATACGCAAGTCGCCGGTGATTGTTGGGAGGATTCGCCCCGACACATCCATAGCTGCACAGGCTTTAGAGTGTCCGTCGCAGCAAACTACAATGACTGGACGCACCCTCGGAGACCTCCCTACACCCGCGCCGGCCGTTTCAAGGATTGGCGTCACCTCGTATGGCGTACGACACCCCGCAAGTAGAGCTGCAAGACGATGAGGATGACCCGCATCTTTGATTGCGTCAGGTGCACCAAGCAGTCTTGCTGAATTGAGTCCCCCGATCGGCGGTCTTCGATGTTCCAAGACTGACTTGCGCGGCGAGAACGGACTCCGTTGCATTGTTACGAGAAGTTGGTTACGCGCTCTATGCTGCAAGCTCAACAGGGGTCAGCAGCAAACCCATTGCCACACTAACAGTGCCTCAAGTAGGCCTATGGTGAACCTCCGGCTCGGCGCGGAGGGTCAACTTCACGACGCCTAGTTGCAAACAACACAACGCCTTCAGGACCTAGCAGTGTGCACAACTCGACTATGAATCGCCACCATCAAACGTGTTCAACAGCAAGCTTGAATATTCACATGTGATTGATTTGTATGTCCTGATATACCTAATTGGGCAATATTTACAAGTGAACGAAACATCCGAAGATGCGAGCAATTTCAAACTCCAGCAGAGCCCGGCCCACAGCCCTAAAGCGCCTAGGATGGACATCCAGATGACGGGTAGTTGCAACTGGTTTTACCTCCAGTGACTTTGGTACCCGAAAACGTGAAGTCAGAACAGCTACCACTTCCACAGAGGATGTAGTAGTTGTACGCCGACGAGGTGACGGTACCAGTGACGCCAATGAAGTGGACCCCTGAGATTATGACGCCGTTAGTCGGCTCGCCAGTTGGTCCGCCGTTCAAATAATCCTGTTGGACATCGATACCATAGTCCGTGATGCCGGAAAGGTTGACATTTTGGTATGTGATGTTGTTGACCTGAACACAAAGTCAGCCTAAGGACACCTGAAGCATTGCAAGTCGACATTGTGAGAAAAGGGGGGCTTACCCTCCCGGTCGTCCCTGAGTTGGTCTTGATACGGCATCCATTCTCGCTATTGACAATCTGACTATTAGAAAATATTACAGAATCCACTGTATTGTTACTCTTCCCGCGCGTGCAATTCGGCGAAAGCATGCCTCTCATTTCTATCTTTGGCTGCTGAAGGGCATCAGCGTGTTTGAAATCCACATCATTGCACGCTGTTGAATTTGCAGATTTTACCCTCCAATATGAGGTCTTCTATTCATGTCCTGCATTCCCCATATTCCAATGCATCATCTCCCCTTGATTGCTTGTACTGTATCGCCCACAATTTATATCAAAATGTAAAGATCTGAAAGATATACTTGATCACTTTGATACTCCCGAATGCTCGAACTGGCCTACACACCTTGGTTGTCTGGACCGACCGGGAATATTAGGCTTGAGGAAAGGCATCGCCTCGATTATTCTTACACCCAAGATGCAAAGGGAAACAGGGGTTATGCACAGCAAGAGAGACGGTGTACGATAGAATGAAATGAGTTATATGATAACTGCTATGGTTTTGATCTATTCAATGTTTTGATGAGCTCGATAACCACTTAATGATACCCGGCAAGGATAATGCCCTGCCGGATATGCCGTTGCAGATTCGACCATGTACGCTCTTTCCCCAAAGACGGCACTGAGGTCAATCTGCCGTTTGCCATCGAGCTCCGGATAGCAGTCTTTAAAGTCGAACTCTCTCGCAGTACAGGCCAAAACCGCCTTGACCTCCGTCATGATGGCCTGTTGCCCGAGACATGCTCGAGGGCCGACCTCAAATGGACGCCAGCTACCAACTGGTGGGTATAATTCGTGGCTCGGCTCAACCACCCACCGGTCGGGGAGAAACTCCAAGGGCCGAACCCAGTGCCTAGGATTTGTTTGGGTCGCGAGATGAGAGATAAGCACACTGTAGCCTTCAGTAGGAAATCGGTTTCCTTGGGAATCTACCACCACGCACTCGGCTGAACCTTCTCGCAAGCCGTCTGCCATAGGAAACAAGCGCAAGGACTCTTTGAGCACGGCTTGTGTGTAAGGTAAGGAGTTTAGTAAGGCAGGGCTTCTCGCAATTAAACGTGGCACGGCATCGAGGTCTCCACCAAGAACGGCGTCGTGCTCTGCTCGTAGCTTCGCCAATGCCTCAGGATTTCTCTGCAGGTTGTTGTAGCAGAAGACGGTTATCCCAGCTGTACTCGGGCCACCGACGAAGAAAAACATTCGCATGTTCTGTGTCGCCATCTTCATGAAGCTGTCATCTGGCGTTTCAGCAGTCGCGTTGCCAGGCCTGTCTAGATACTCCTCAATAGCAAGATCAATGACAGATCGGAAAGTCTCGCTTTGCCCGGTGGCTCTATTTGACTTGCATGCTTGAAATCGTGTCATAAGTTGATCTCGGATGCTCTCGTCCAAAAGACGGCTATTCTTCCATATACCATATCTCCGGAAGGGGTTGAACCAGTTGACGATAACCTCAGGGTTTGACGGCTGTTGCTCTTTATAACCCTGCTGTCGAGTCATAGTCTCAGCCAGAGGATGGCTAGATCTTTGGTTGTCCATCTTGATCTGGAGGAGAGACTCTGCAATAATGTCCGTGATAAGCTTAACCACCATCGGCTGAAGCTTCACGCGCTCCCCTGACTTCGCTTTCTCCTGCAAAATACCTCGAAAAATCTGGATGTGGTCGACCATCAGAGGTACTTGCTTGTTTATATTTCCCACACTGAACGCAGGCGAGAACACATTATGGAGGGCTTTCCACTCTTCAGCGTTCAAATCGAAGAGATTGGGTCCTCCTGAAATCATGTGAAACCAACCCGTCAGCACTACAACGATTGGAGTCAGTATTTGCCTTTTAGGACTAGTCAAAGGTAGAAAAAGCTTGGATGCTGATGCCTCAAGGTGGTTTTATAAGTTTAAGAAGGTTCGGAACGGGAACTTCTTAATCACAGCGGGTAAGTGAAGGTAATAAACACCAAAAGTTGCTTACTTTCTGGTTTCCGAGCCCCTGTCTTGGGGTGCAACATGACCTGATTAGCCATCTCATGTTCTGTGATGACTAACATTGGATCCATCAATGGCCAGACATCGAAGTAGAACGCTCCATCGGGGAAGTACTCTTTGGTGATCTTGTACATGAGGTAACAACTATGGGCACCAACAGGAAGAGCTTGGAACAGCTTTCCAACAGCCAACAAATGACCAAAAACAGGATTCCATGAGAGCATTGGCTACATTTAAATCAGTACAGTTACCCGTCAGCCATGAAGGTCGAGATCACTTACCTTTCCAAGCTTTTTCATGTTCATCGTCAACTTTCTATACCTCCACCAGTCGAGTCCAATGAAGTAGACGAAGGCCACAGCCGCCGCTATAGCGACTGTGAAGAACTGTGAAGATGGCATTATGTCAAGTCATCAAGCAACGCCTAATATGCGAGGAGCGATTCGGTAAGTGTCTTTGCGAGGGAATAATTAATCATGATAAAAAGTAACTCGGGCGTCTCAATAGGTGTAAAATATTTGAAGACACAAATGTAAAACTAACCGTTGAGCATGACTGGCGATATGCTGCTAGGTTCTTGAAGGATCATACGAAGCGTGGCGGCGCCTCTCATTACGTGCCGCTCGGTTTTTAACCATCAATTGAGGTGGAGACCACGGGACCTGTGCCATTTTAATACATCATTTTATCTCCCGTAGACTGAGCAACGTGAATGGGGCAGACCTATCATAAAACAACGTTTACTAAATCGGTAGTGCTTACATAGGTGTCTTATGCAGGGATATGCTGCCAGCACTCCCACACAACCCGAGCACATCTCAATGAGACGCGTGAAGTATTTACCTACCTGGGCAATAAGGGGAGTAAATGAGGTTCAATAATAGTTCTCTCATCTGTCATCGCAATAAACGTGTCTTACTAAAATACAGGGTGCCTTTCCTGCTACGCTTCTCTATACATCAGTTCAAACATGTTAGCAACCTCGATGTTTGGTAGTTCGCCAGCAAAAGTGACTACGTGAAACAATAAATTCGTTCATTTCCACCCCCAGAGCCCTCTTCTACTGCTTAGAGGCTCCTCACTGCTCGTACCCGATTCTCTCGAGCCCGCTTCACCACAGGTATGTCGCCAGCACTCTCGAAGCCATGGGGTATTCCGGGATATAGATGGAATTCTAGGTCGATGTTTGCAGCGGCAATCCGCGAAGCATACTCAAGACACTCGTCCCTGAAGAGATCTAAACCACCCACATCAATATATGTGGGTGGCAGTCCTTCTACACTCTTTGCTCTAGCTGGGGAGGCGTAGTGACTGATGTCTGCTTCTGGTTTTCCAACCTTGTCTTCTCCAACGTATGCATTCCACGCCAAAATGTTATCTTTGAACTTCCAGTTCAAGAATGCATGCAAAGGCCAGTCTTCAGGATACCTAGTCGTCGTGCGATCATCTAGCATTGGATACACCAGAATCTGCTTGGCAATGGGCGGTGATAGCCCCTGATCCCTTGCCCTCAGACATGTCCCAGCTGCTAGCCCACCGCCTGCACTATCTCCCATGACACCAATTCGAGCTGGGTCAACATGCAGCTCCTTGGCGTGAGAGACCAACCATTCTAATCCGGCATAGCAATCGTGAACGGCCGCAGGAGCTGGATGTTCCGGGGCCAACCTGTAGTCCACTGAGAACTGCTGCACTCCTGTTTCGGCAGCATATTGTGCTATTTGAGGCGAAAACATGTCAACATCGCAGCTGATCATTCCACCACCGTGGATATTGAGCAAAGCCGGGAGGAGTTCCGTGCTTTCCATTTGCTCCTTGGTCGCAAAGCGCACGACTTTGACCTTTGCGCCGTCAACGCTCTCAACCTCAACTGCGGTCTTGACGATACCCTCAACAGCCGGTATGCTATCGAAGAACTTCCTCAAGAGGGGCTCTGTAAAGTTTCGCAGGTCGATCGCATCTTTGAAGTCGGGTTGTACCCATCCTGTCTTGGATGGCGCAACTACCTTCCAGTATTCTGGATCATACTTCGGAGTATGACCTTGGGCAGAGCTTGGAACCGCCGGAGCACTCATGTCGCGAACCGATAATTTCTGCCTGAAATCTCACTCTGTCCTCTTTTCGCGGGCTCTAGCTCGTTCCTTTTTATGTTTGATCAATCGTAGTCAGGTGAGAGTCGCCGTCTTTCTCTGTAAGGCCGTCTACTTACGCTGTTGTGGGTGACTCCAGCGCATGGTTGAGGGTTGTTGTTGATTTAAGGTCTGTAAGTGCTTGTGTCAATACCCTCCCGCCTTAAGGGGTTCATGCCTATTTAAACGGCTCGACATGCGATCCCGCGCCGGTCAAGCGGCGGGGAAGGAATTCCTGCGAGGATGAAGCCGTCACATGGATGCAGCCGACGGGTGAATCGCTTAGTGAATCTAAATTGAAACTACGATACAATCCACCGATTCCGCACGCTTGTGCGGGCCGACAAGCGACGGCCGGTTCGTAGAGTCACCGCAGTTCGAGCGCTACCAGACCACGGAGAGACTAATTGGCAGAAGCTTGTGAGGAGAACCCCACAGCAAAGACCTGTCACCTGCGAACATCTGGATCCCTTGGATACTGGTCACGATGTCACCAAAATCCGCACTTTATAAGAAGTCTGTTCCACTTGTTAGACTTAATGTTGTTGTGAAAAGAGAACCCCAGGGATTTCTTTGGGAAACAAGTTCAGTGAAGTCAAATAAAATCCCGATCTTAGTCATAATTGAACACTTAAATTCTTCAAGGGTATCTAAAACTGCGATACAACAAGGGTAGGGTATAGACCACAACCCCTTATTTTGCAACGCTTCTTATCTCAATCTTCTCTACCACGTCGCCGCCAAGCCTAGCTATCTCAGCTAAGATGGCTTCACGGTTGACCTCCACGAGGTCATTCTCGTTTTCTGAGTCATCGCTGTTGATTCCTTTTTTGGTGGCCACAGGCTTGAATGAACATGGTAGGTTCACCCTAAACGACCGCCGTTGAATCTGAGGATTCCATATAGCAGCAATAATGTGGTCGTCTGGTGCACCGTGGAAGAAGACTAGAGGGCCAGCATATAGCTGGTTCAGCTCTTTCAAAAAGGCAGTGATCGGATGGTGCGCAAGAGGTAGCGGCGTTTGACTTGTTCTTGCATCAAGATTCTTAAACTGCGAGCTCTTCGTGCCATCGTCCCCTCGGACAATGCCCTTGACCAACTTGGTGTCCAAATAGATCAGAACGTCATATTCTCGTAAAGAAGGCTGGAACAGACTTCTCAAATCGAGCTCCAAACCCGCATCCTTGACAAGCTTGCACGCCGAACGAGCCAAGGTTGTCATCCTCGTGGCTACAACCTTTGACGGACTTGGGTCACCATTGTTAAAGGTGAAAGTAGTTCCTGACGTGTCATGCGAGGTGGCAACAAAGAGCGTCGTACGGTTCATATTGGGATCGATTTTTCGCCATGCTTCCAATCTTGTCTCAATTGCATTGCGATCGACGGCTGAAAGTGACTCAGAACTATCAACAATCAGTGGCTCAACTCGCCAATCCCACCGAGACAGGAACGAGAGCGCGCGCAGAAAGCCAGCCATAGCACTGGACGGCGCCTGCCAGGGGTAAGGTTCCAGAAAAATATGTAGAGCAACGAGTTCTACAAACTCTTCGAGGAAGTGGGACCCCAGCTTATGTGAGTTGAACCATTGCTTGAGCAAGCGAATTGTTGGGGACAAAGCCGAGAAACGATTGCAGAACGTTGTAATAACCTGGGTGTGTAGCGGTAGGTGTGTATAAAGACGCTTGACTGTTGCCAACAGTTGAGCACCTTCAGTTCGAACGTGCTGTTCCAGAGTCTTGTCCTTCGTCCGCCGCTCGAGCAGAGTCTCCTCCAGATCGCTGTGAATCCTGAGGCGGAATGCAGCGCTGCTGTCATATATGACATCCAGGAACGCGAGGTTCTCAATGTCTCTCTTAGCATCTTCCAGTCCAATGTGAGTCGTCACACCAGGCTTGGATTCCTCAAGAAGAGAACCAATTTTGAGCAGGATTGCAACCTTCGTTCGTTGGATGGCAGCAAGGTTATCCGGCCACTTGCCGGATGCTTCGAAGAAGATGACTACATCCATCGGTCGCACAGGGGGTTTCAGAGTGTTCAAAGATGGCGGCCGGATGGAAGATGACCGCATTTCCGATCCTGTTGGCTTCAGCTGTCTGACATGAAGAGGAAGATCATCGAGACTGCGGAGGTCTTGCTCGAATGTTCGAAATGCTTCTCTTGCCGCGCTGAAGCTCGGGGCATCTGACGACTTCAGGGGCACAAGTGAAGTGAAATCATTCCCGTAGAAGCGAATGACATCTCCTTCAAGGTGAAGATGAAATTTCAGTGCATAACGGGCGATCTCTTCGCACAAGCCAACTGCAGAAGACTGCGTCCAAATGAGGCTTTCTAAAATGCTGCCATCTTTGAACCGGCGCAATTCCGCCTTGTCACCCCAGAATTGTCGAAATTTCCTCGCCTCTTTCTTGTCTTCCACTGAAGGACCGTGATCTACTTGCCTGGTCATGTTGGCCTGGTCGAAGATGATGCCAATAAAAACTCGTGGAGATTGAGGCGGTGGGGATGATGTGACGTCCCAAACATATTCAGGCGTTTCATGCCCATAGAAGGCATGAATAAGCGAAGCTCTATCTCCCAAAGCCTTCTTCAAAACATTATAGACTTTCTCAGTGTGAACCCAAGAAGACCCTCGATAGTCAATGACGTCCTGTTGACCGGAAACATCATCACCGTCAAAAGCCACCATCAGGTCAAATATTTGAAGAGGAATATCTGCTTTGAGGATGAAGGTAGGATTGAATTGCTCAGCCAGATCATTAGCCAACAGAGTATGTGTCCATTTGGCATGTTGGTGCATCCAGGTAGCAGATGACATGCTCATCTTGAAGGCAATATTGTGCTGCCGGGAGGAGTCGAAGATAGTCGGGCCAACCAAACTCTCTCTGCCTTCTTTGAAATCTCCCAGAACCAGCGGCTTTCGAGAGAAATCAGCTGTAGCAAGAAATTGAACGATTGCTTTAAACAGCTGGGTGCTGCTCAGGGAGGCAGAAAGTGAAGCAACGCGCTCACTGCCACTACCTTGCAGCAACAGCGCAGTCAAAACAGACCATTCAAAATGACCAAATCCACCATGAGTGATGGTGCTGCCAAATCCTCGCTGCTGTAGCCAGATCCGGCCCAGCATACATGCATCCTTGAATGACCCGCACAACTTCTCTGCCTGGCGTAAAACTCTGAGATATGGTAGGTAGCAGCCGTCGGCTTTCAGGGTAGAGTTGTAGAATGGCGTTGGTGATAGTATCTTATCTTTATTCTCGGAGTTGTTATTTCGGATACAATTATTGAGTGGGAGAAGTTTTGTGTTAGGAAACAGGCCTTCGGGAAAGCAAGGTATGATGCGCACCCGAAAAGTTGGTGCTACCTTCCGAACAGTTCCTTGGGGCTTCACAGCGTTCTTTTTTATCTTGGCCGTTTCCTCTTGTGTGACGTCCAGGATGGGCAGGAGAGCATTGCCATGCATGTGCTCGTAGGCGAGTTGTACTTTCCCATCAAGATCTTTCTGAACTGCCGCAACTAGTTTCGCCAAGTAATATGCTCTTTTATAGAAGTATCTGTGGTTTAGATAATCCTTCTCCTGAAAAATTTCCTTGGGCATCTCCACAATCATATCGATGGCTTGACTCTTCTGGGATTTGATCATTGTTTTCGAGACATAACTGCCCACGACATTGATATGAGATGGCTGTTCGAATGACACTTTGTATGGCGCATCGATGGTAGGTTTGGGATCAGGGAAGGGAACATGAACATTGTACTTCTTCGCAATCTTCTTGCTAGCTTCGAGAATCTATAGCATTGTTAGACAATGATGATTGAGGCAAACTGGAGGGTTTAGTCTGACCGGTAGCGATTCGTGAGAGTCTATAGACTCAATTGCACCCTTAAGCTGGCGAAGAAGGTCATCTGCTTTTGCAAAAGTCTTGCCATATTCCACACGACTTTCCTTGAGCAGCTCTTCTGTTTCGAGGATAAATGTGCTGGGCCTGAACAATCCAGCAGTGGCTGCGGAGTCGAAGGCGCTATTGTTCTGACCTGACCCGTTTCCGTGGTCATGCTCAAGCTTCCGCCTTTTGGGAGGGCTTGACTCCATCTTGAGAATCCTGTTTGGAGAGGCGAAATTCTTCTGGTCAAGATACCATATGGTTGAAGCTGAGACTCACGCTTCCAAAAAAAAGTATCACCCAAGAAATTTTTGGAGGGCGATAAGGCGACGGTCTATCGTTCATCCCGTCCGGCGGGACCGATAAGAAGACATGGCGGGGCGGCAGTTCCAGATGGGTGTAGGGAGCGTTTAGTGGTTGGGCTTCTATAACACCAACTGTAGACATTTCATCATACCTAGGTAGGTATCTCACAAGGCCCCTCATAACATCCAGGCAGCCTGACTTTTATCGCAGCAACCGCAATCAATCGGCAAGCAAAGCACCCCCAAAATCGCTGCGCCGAGGGTAGAGAGATGAATGCGTCTCAAAGAACGCGGTGAACATGTCGAGCACCAAAGCTGCGGTGAAAGCCATTGGCGAAGCTGTCCGTCAGCAAAAGTTCGATGATGCCATCGAGCAAGCACAAAGTCTCCTCCAGCGAGAAGCAAAGAATCATCCAGCCCACATCTTCCTCGCATTTGCGCTTGATAAGAAGGGGAGAGTCTCCGACGCCGAGAAGACATATGAGGCAGCCACGAAGCTCAAGCCAGCAGACCCGCAGGCATGGCAAGGCCTCATCAAGCTGTATGAGAAACAAGGAGCCAAGAAGCTCCCAGAATTTCAGAATGCGGCATTACATTTGGCGGAGATTTGGCGGGATGCAAATGAGATGTACAAATGCCAAGACACGGTCGACAAATTCATAGACTTCGCACGTGTACAAGGAGACCGTCAACAATATGTTGAAGCACTGGAGGTCATCTTGCCCGGCAGCCCCATCTACCCGGCACTGGAGGGCCGTGTACCTCATCCTGCGAAAACTTATGAGACGATAGCTCAAATAACTGAGACAGATGAGAAGAAGCGTGTTAACACACTCATTGGAGAACGCCGAACGAGGATCGGGGCGAGGATCAGCGACGTCACCATTGAAGTCAAGAGAGAAGTTTTGGGCCAAAGCAAGCTGGGCCATATCTACCGCGAATTGATTAACTGGACGGCAGATGATGATGTACGACGCCAATATGAGGAGAAGTTACTCCAGCATTGCTACGAACGATTACTCGTCTTTCCTCCTGGACCTGCCAAAACACAAGAGCTCCTAGTTGTGCAAAAGCTTGCCGATGACATGGTGATAATCAAGCATCCTTTTAAATTGGCTTGGGATATCGCCATCGACTGGAAGGACTACAAGGAGATCAAGGAATGGGACGTTGGTATTCTTAAAGAATACTGCACCTTTTTTTTCGACAGCGATCTTTACAAGATTATCACAGGATTTCTCACTAGCGACATTTCCCCATTTCCGAAGTACGAAATCGAGGCCCCAAATGTGACTTCTAACGACGTTCCGGAGGACGAAAGCGAAGATGACGAGGATGGCGGAGCACCGACATCCGTAATCCCCTTGACTGAAGAAGATCGGCTGATAATGATGACCGAGGGCATCGCCACAGCTAATTCATTATTTGCATATCGCCTCATGGGTGAATATTACCAACATCTACAAGAATATGAGAGCAATGTAGAGTTGATGCGCAAAGCCATTGAGAATCTCAAGGGAGAGAGAGTCAAAACTGGCTTAAGCCTACAGAATATTGAGGACGCCTATCTTTTGTATCTCGGAACCGCTCTTGTTTACTACCAATCTCCGAGGAATCACCAAGAGGCAAAGACACTTTTCGACCAAGTTCTTGAACATGATGCAACCTCAACACCAGCGTTGATCGGCGTCGGTCTCGTCTTTGAGGAGGAGGAGGATTACGATGAAGCCATCGGTTTCTTCGGGCGAGCTATGAAACGTGACCCAAACAACCTTCGCCTAAGGACGGAGGCAGCCTGGGTCAAGGCTCTAAAAGGCGACTACTCTACGAGTAAAGATGAATTGGAGGAAACTCTCCCTTTGATCACTTCAAGCCGACCCCCAAACAAGGAACTACTGGCATTAACCCTGTATCGCCTGGGAACGTGCGTATGGAATCTCGATACTTCGGTAGCAGCTCGAAAGAGTCGCAAAGGTGCATATGCAATCTTCATGGATGCCTTGCGAAACGACCCAAATCTCGCACCGGCTTCTACAAGCTTGGGTATCTTCTTCGCTGATTATGCCAAGGACAAGAAGCGCGCAGAGAGGGCCTTCAAGCATGCTGTCGAGCTCTCACCATCAGAGGTTCTTGCTGCAGAAAGACTTGCACGGCTTTATGCTGACCGCGGAAAATGGGATGAAGTCGAGCTCATATCTCGCCGCGTTGTTGATTCTGGCAAAGTGAGGCCTCCACCTGGTTCAAAACGAAAGGGCATTAGCTGGCCGTTTGCTGCGCTAGGTGTTGCAGAATTGAACAAACAGGATTACCATAAGGCCATCGTTTCGTTTCAATCGGCCCTAAAGATAGAGCCGAACGATTACAATTGTTGGGTCGGTCTTGGAGAGAGTTACTTCAGCTCCGGTCGACATATCGCTGCTACAAAAGCTCTTGCCCATGCCCAGAAGCTTGAGGATGAGCTGAATCCGGAGAAAGTAGGGGACATCTGGTTCACCAAGTTCATGCTTGCTAACGTCAAACGACAACTTGGAGAATTTGACGATGCCATTGATCTGTATCAGGCTGTCATAGATGAGCGGGCTCAAGAAGAGGGCGTCGCGATCGCGCTCATTCAAACAATGGTTGAAAATGCTTTGGATTGCGTGGAGAAAGGTCTTTTTGGCAAAGCCATTAGATTGGCGAGCGACGCGTTGGATTTCTCGGCCCAAGCCCCGACCTCCCTCGTGGAAACATTCAACTTTTGGAAAGTTGTGGCGGACTCCTGCTCCGTCTTCTCAAGCATCCAAGGTCGGGTCACTGATTTTCCTACACAAGTTATACGAGCTATCCTTGGGACAGACGATAAGAGCCCAGTCTATGATTTACTCAAGGAAGTCGACGGCGTGGGCACAGGCGTCATCTTTGCCGAGGGTATTTTCGCTGACGACGAGAAAGTCGGTGTTGACCTAACCCGGTGTATCCATGCTACCATCCTCGCTCACAAACGTGCTATACATGCTTGTGCAAGTGATATACATGCTCAAGCCGTTGCGTACTATAATCTCGGCTGGGGAGAGTATCGAGCACATGTCTGTCTGCCCACATCTTTGCGCAAGAAGTCAAGTCGATATATCAAGGCTGCCATCAAGTGTTTCAAGCGAGCTATTGAGCTTGAGGCTGGAAATTCTGAGTTCTGGAACGCTTTGGGTGTTGTTACAAGTGAAATCAATCCAGCTGTTTCTCAGCATTCGTTCGTACGGAGTCTGTATCTCAACGAACGTAGTGTTCAGGCGTGGACGAATCTCGGCACATTGGCACTCATTCAGAACGATTTTCAACTAGCGAACGAGGCATTCACACGAGCACAGTCCACAGACCCTGACTATGCGCATGCATGGCTCGGTCAAGGTCTCGTCGCGCTCTTGTACGGTGACCCTAAGGAGGCCCGTGGACTGTTCACTCATGCTATGGAGATATCGGAATCTTCATCATTGATCACAAGGCAGCAATACTCGATATCGGTCTTTGATCATATTCTAACTGGTCCGGCCAATCTCCCGATTGCCTCATTATTGCAGCCGATCTTTGCATTGAGCCAACTCCGTGGCCTCAAACCTCAGGAACTTGCTTATGGCCACCTCCTAACCCAGTTCCAAGAACGCATTACTGACAGTCCCCGTGCAGTTGGCACTCTTGAAGAAATCTGCGCGAATCTGGAAGTAGACTATGAGGCAACGGAATCGCCTCTGGCGGCAAAGAGATTCGCGCTCGCAAAGATAGATCTTGCCCGTGCCTACTTAGCAGCTGGGTCCTACGAGCAAGCTATAGAGTGTGGAGAGCTGGCACTTGTCCTGAGTAGTGATGATTCCGATAACGAGCTCACTGCCGACGAACGCAAGAAGGCGAGGTTGTTCGCGCATCTGACAGTAGGGCTGGCGCAGTACTACCAACACGACATCGAAGAAGCAGTCGGATATTTCGAGGCTGCCCTAGAAGAATCTGAGAATAGTCCGGATGCTGAGTGCCTCTTGGCGCAAGTCCTTTGGGCAACCGGGTCTTCAGACTCTCGTGCGAAAGCGCGGGATAGTCTATTTGGTGTTATCGAACGGCAGCCTGACCATGTTGAAGCCATTCTTCTATTGGGAGTGATGGGTATTCTTGAAGATGATGCCGAAATTCAGGAGGCCGCTATCGACGAGCTCCACGCATTGCGCGCCAACGATAAGATAACCCCCTCGAAGCGAATGCAGATTGGAGAGGTTCTACAGGCTGTTGCTGCATTATCAGAAACCGACGCCGAGACTGAGATTCGCACTCAAGCACAGACAGACGTCATGCTGTACCCTTACCTGCCGCATGGCTGGTCTAATCTCGCAGATGTAGGGGAGGTTGAGAACGGCTTCCCCGGTGAGATGGCTCTCGGCGTTGCCCGGAAAGCAATACCTCCAAGAGGACAGCTTGGTCCTGAAGGCCTGGCGAGGGCCTACGCTGGGACCGGCAAAGCTGTTGATGCCCAGACAAGCATAATGGTCGCTCCATGGGCGAAATACGGATGGCAAACTTTAGCAAGTGCTGTTTCGAGCTAGTGATGGTTGAATAACTGTGGGAATTTTAGAGAGCATCGTTGTTGATAGGATTTGTATGGCTCATGAGACATGTCCATGTATGAAGTAAACTGGGTATCTTCTGAAGAAAGGAGAATAAAGGTACACTCTCAGCATCAGTGCCGCCGTCAATCTCTTCTACCAGCTCCCACTGCTTGCCTCAATCGTGCCAATCGTCCTTCAACCCATGACTTCTGCCATGCCTCCACCTTGCCCCCTAGCACTTCGCAACTTGTCGGCTCAAGCAAAATCACCCCTCTAGCCACAACAGTACCGCGCTTGAGCAGAAGCTTCTCTCCAATGTTTGTTTTGCCAATTGCAATCCGCTCCATGCGTTTCAACTCTAACCCGTAGGCTCTTTGGCCTTTGCAGTCCTGCAGCACAAGCTTGTGGGTTGCGTTCTTGCTTGTCCCGTTGGCAGCAGATGCATTCGTGGGAGCACCAGCACTTGCAGTACCGCCGGCACGCCCCTGATTTCTCTGTGCCAGTGGCTGTGCAGCAGCGGGTGGCTCGTTGCCGGCCTCATGCTCGTTCTCATTATTCTCATCGCCGCCTACGGGGAGACGGATGACCTCCCGCCCGCGTGTCTGCTCGCCGCGTTCGATAGCCTCTAGCTCTTCAACCTGCTCCCACCGGCTCTTGCTTAGATTCTCAATGTCAAGAATTTGCACATACACGTCTCGTGTAAGTCGCGTTTCCTTGACATCCTGATTGGTGATGCCTGCAGGTAGGCATATTGATGTCAAGATGGATGGGTCTAGCAGCCCTGGAGTGGTCAAGTCTGTGGCCAGGAGACGTGTCTTGGCTGTCATCACCAGCGAGGGCAATGGCGGTGGAGGGTTGCGCGAGGAGATGAGAGTGCGCAGCCATGTGTGAGAGGGAGGAGGGACATTATGGGTCCGCAGCTGGTTGCGTATTTGATTCGAAAGGTCCATTTTGTGCGGCCTGTTTCACCAGAAAAGAAGATGAAGGAAATCGACTGCTAAAAGAAAAGGATCCTCCACATCTTTCCAACAGTCATTGTAAAGTTTGTGAGATATCGAGGAATCGAGAGCCCAAATCGAAGGTCTTCACAAAACGTGTTGCATCGTTGAAGCTCTTAGCCTGTAGCGGGGCATTAAAGCCCCTAGAGACGCTAACACAGTATGTGTTAATGAGGCGCAAGGGGCGTCGTGGAGCTGGGAGCTCAGCACGGTCCCACTAGCTGTCAGCCTCAAGTTGCTTGCCTCCACGTCACTTGTAAGATCTCACACTCAACTGCTAATCAAAGACCAGCGCCGAACCGAGCTGAAGCGCGACATGACAATTTACGATTGCGCTTGAATCCTTTCCAAGGCTACGCCCATATGACAATCTTATACGAAATTCAACGTTATAAAGCCAGCTGCGCTAGCTTTAGGGCGAGCATCTAGCACATCGTCAAGATGTCCACCATCGCGACACCGCGCGACCCATCAACGCCTATGCCACGGCGCATGAATTCCTCTCAAGCAATCATAACACCTACATCGTCCTCAAGACCAAGCCTCGATACTCCGCGCTCCGCGGGAGGCTCTCCGAATCCCAATGCCACCGGGCAGCTCCAACCAGGCAGCGCCGCCTCCACCGGCAAGCGCAACAATCGCGCCGCCCTTCGAGAGTACTACAACATAAAGAAAGCAGCATCTGTCTCGACGACACCACTACTAGAGGTGACCGATCCACTGGGGGATACCACACACGAGTCATCATATAGTGAAGTCGCGCCGTCAGAGCTAGATGCGGAGACTTTCGATGCAGACGCATTCGTGGCGAGGAAGTTGCAGGAGAGCAGTATGGAGGAGCTGCTGCGGACGTACACGCGCGTGCTAGGAGAGATCAGGGCGCTGGACGCCGAGAAGAAGGCGCTGGTGTACGACAACTACAGCAAGCTGATCACTGCGACGGAAACGATACGAAAGGTGAGCATTGAGAGCAGTGAGAGATCCGGTGTCTATGTGCTGACTGGTCACGAATCATAGATGCGTGCGAATATGGACCCTCTCAATCCCATGGCCTCTACACTAGACCCGGCCATTGCACATATATACAGCCAAGCATCGTCAATACGAGAAGCACTCCGTCAATCGGTCCCGAAACCAGAAAATAGCAAGTATGATGAGACAGCAAGGAGGAGAAAGACGAGGAAACTAGTGGTGGAGGTGTTGGGAACCCCAGAAAGGATACGGCAGCTTGTTCGAGATGGCAAGCTGAAAGAGGCGAGAAGCGAGTGGGCGATGCCAAAGAGGTTACTGGAAACTTGGAAAGAGAAGGGAGTCGGAGGTGAGGATGTGGATGTGTGTCTTGCGGATGGCGAGGCCGCCTTGAGAGGTGAGGATACCCCGTGATGGTCGTCCGAGCCATGAATGGGCAATTCACCCTATTACGGCAGTCGCATCGCAAGACAACAGAGAGGAACGACAGCTGTTAAGAGCAGATACAGCTCCTTCGTCCAAGACTTGCATCTCACCGCTATATATGCGAGGATCTAGGCACAATCTGCGCCTCTATGTACAGGGAAGATGATCCAGCCTTCGGCTGGTGCTGTCTTGAATAGCAACCGGCATGCTTTATAACCGTCGCCTAGAAGGAGGAAGGTCATGTTGTCGCGTAATATACCCAGTTCAATTCAAAACATTCATGAATGATATCCAGTTTGTACACCCGCTGCTCTTTTGGAAACCGCGAAGAGAACCACGACGCCTTACACCGCAAACATTGTAGATGAATCGGGCATGCTTCAATCTTTGACTCCCTCGACCTTGCCCCCTACTGTCCCATCTAGCGATGGCCCATCGGCACCAGTCGCAGCCACTTCCTTGTTGTATTCCTCGGGTGTCTGGCACTTGGCGGTCCAGGCGTGTATTGCGGCTATTTCCTCTTTGAGAGCTGCATTGACAAGCCGATGTCTCTTGAGAGAGTTCTTTCCAGTGAATTCGGGGGACACAATCAATGTCGTAAAGGCTTGACCACAACCACCTGGGGGGGTCAACATTTGTCAGCCAGGCCATTGAAGAGCACGGGATGCGACAAAGCTCCGGAGCAGCATTGCACAGAGAAGTAGACTCACCAGACATGTCTGTGACCTCGACATGAACCGCCTTGAGGCGCTCTGTGATGGAGGCCTTCAGCGATGCTTCGGATATCGAGCTGTCGGCCATGGCTGCGGATGTCGCAAATCTGATCTGATAAGATTGAGGTGCATGCTGGAGGAAAACTCTCGGGTGCCCCGCGATGACGGAATTGCATTTGGGTGTCTGTGGGGGTCCTCCTGCAACCTCGGATTAGTGTTAGCTTAGCCGTGAGCACAGAACCTGCAACCCTGTAGATTATCACAAGCCTATAACCACATCAAGACTCTTATAATCTATGGCAGGTGTCTCGCTGTTTGGACTGCTATTTTATATCTGTTATTTAGGCTTGCCTCCTAACACGGCAATTAACTTTAATATAGAAAGGATATCGTTTTTTCTTCAAGAAGGATTGGTGCCTTTAAACAAATTAACAACCCTGTAATACCTAAGTAATCAACCGCGGAGTTTCGAGACTCCATTGAGTATCATGATTTTCAACAGTAACACTGAGCCCTTGAGGAATAAACTTTTTTTTTACGCTGGTAGAGCAGTAAACACGTCTGATCATAGAGTTTCACGGTGTACAAGGTGTATGCTAAAGCGATTATTCATATTTACTCTGCTAACTGTGTCGGTGAATAACACAAACAGCTTAATTGTCATTAGCCGCAGGCTTCCTAAGACTTTGGTGCTCTGCCATTGTAGTTTTTCCCCACTGTTGCTGTGTAGTTCGCGAAGCAGTCGTAGTTGTAGTCAATCTCATCAATGCGATCCTTCAGAACGGAGACAACGTTATCGAAGGAACAGAGACCATAAGGGTCATCCGGACAGCCGGAATAGGACTTTGAGACGGGGACAACCGCGTCATTTCTAAGCAGCTTAGTTAGCTAGTTCTCATCCGGGAGAGCAAGTAGTTGCCTTTGATATTGGGTGTTGACAGAAAGGGAAGAAAAGCCTACACAATGAACCTAATCTGCTTAGTGGAGTTGTAGCTCGGACACTCGAGGACCTGGACGGTGAAGTGCGTTGCAAATGGCACAATCTTACTGGCAATGAAGCTGTTGTCCTTCCTATTGCCTGTGCTGCTGAGCGGGGGACCTTCAAAAAGCGCCGTGAGGTTGAATGCGGTCAAGGTATCCAGGACCACTACTTCGTGGGTAGCGTCTGCGTAAATAGACTGATTCAAAGGGAAATACGTTGACGAGTTGTCGTACGTTCTGTTCAGAGCCGACCAGCCTTTGGGATACTCGCCAGTAAATCGGGCGACGAATTCTTGAAGATACCCTAGACCTTGGGCGGCAGAGACGGGGGACCCCGGACCATTGTTGTAGTAAAACGACTGTGAAGGGTCAGTATGGCGATTTTGGACGAACAGACTTAAAGATCTGTATCCCAAAGGGAAAGGGGCATACAAGGTCGTAGTAGTACTCGTAGTTCAAGAAATCCGCTTCACTAAAGAGTGGACAGAACGACGAGTAGCCCAGCGCATGAGTCTCATACGAGCAGAGTTGCAGCATGGCAATCGCGTCCGTAGGAGTGAAGTTGAGCCCAGATACCTGTATGCAGCCATTATAAGTATCAGGAACAATCATTCAGGCATTGGGTGGCTTGCCTGGGAGTTCAAACGGGCTAGTGTGGCATTGAAAGCACTATTTGCGAAGGCCGTCGCGGCGGTGCTTCCAATACTTCCCCGGCTGCCAACATTGGAATTCGTGCATACTTCGTAGGGCGCTCCTGAGTTGTTCACTCCGGGAGTCTCTACGAGGATTTCGATGTTCACTTGGTCAAGGTACTCCGGAACCCCGAAAAATCCAGCTGCAAAGTTCTCTGCTGTCTTGACCATACGGTCCTGGGACTCTGTACGGAAGACTGGGATTGCGCCTGCCTTGGTGAAGTTGTTGAGTAGCTCACCATATAGCTGGCGGTATTGCACACCAAGGAGGAAATTCTGGCTCCTGCCAAATGGAGTGAGAAGCTCAGCACCAAGCTTATACGTCCAATTAGACAAGAAAGTCAAGTCGCCGGTGACCTCAAACCCCTTCTCGGTAGCATTCACGAGCTTGGAGGCGAATTGCGCAGGAGCCGCGCCGCTGGTCGGGTACCGCGCTCCGTGCCGGTAAAGGAGATGCAGCTGAGTGATAGTGCAGCCTTCCGGAGCAAGTGGGCTTGCATCGGGCAGACCGTAATCCGCCGATGACAGCGAATACCATGGCGACAGGTTACCCCAGTACCTGCTGATGTCAAATTTGGACGACTCGTCCTCGCCGTGTGGCTGCGGGGCCAGGAGCGGAAATTGATTAGAAGGGCCATTGTTGTAGGGGTACACCGGAGCTGTCTGAGCGGCGGCGGGCTCTACTCCGGTCGGGGTTGGTCCAGGGAAGCCGACCTCCGGCTCCGGAGGAAAGGCTGTGGAGTCTACGGCGGCTGGAGGCGAGAAGATGCATGTCAGACGGCAAGTATGACTTATTTCGCTGCTGAGCAGGGGCAATTCTATAAGAGTCACTTACTACCCGATGGAGGATAGGAATCCGAAGTCGCCTTGCCAACATACGATGCTGCCGAAACTGTGACATCTCGTGCAATGGCACGGGCAAACAGCCCGAAGAAGGCGATGGGTGCGAGCTGGATCTGGACCTTCATTCTGAAGTCAATTCCGACAATACAACAGGCCCCAGTTCCAGTTGAGCTCTGTCCTGCTAAGCTTTGCCAAGCTTGCCAAGAGACGTAGGACCTGCATCTTTATATCGTCCCGGCCGCACCAATTTGGCTGGCAAGCTTCCAAGTCCGATAGAGATATTTCAAGCTCCGATTGACCTATGGGATGGGTAATTGAGCGCACATGCTCTGCAAGGTGCATGGGCTTGTTGAAGTATTGAAGCTGCTCGAAGCTTATCAGGCTGTCGGCCCCATCGTACGCACTGTTGGCGCAAGAACGTGCGGAGAAGGTGCGCTGCTAGTACCCCTCATGCACAGCGCATCGCGCCCGAATTCAGTGGATTCTATAGTGGGAGCGATGATGCAAGCAGCTCATGACGTGACCTCCCGGCTTGGAGTAGGGCAGCCTGCATTGCAACGCTCCAGACAATGTCGAGATGGCCACACGTGCTCCAGGACCTTGTTGGCCACAAGGTGGATGAGCCCGGATAGCACGAGCCGAGGGCTGAGAAGTCCAGGGCCTAGCGGGAGCAGGGCACCATGTAATTGCCTCCGCTAAGATATCGTCAAGATATAAACCCCGCCCAAAGAACGATGGCCGTAAGGTTATGGGAAGAAAGTTGCCGGTATCGACTCTGAGGTGATTTCGAGCTAAACTAGTAGAAGACGGCCCAAGAAGAGGCTGTAAGTGAAGTTGAGGATTCAAGGAGCGCCGTGTCACGACTAGCAGAGTGCCTGACAAAATAATAGTCCCGTTTTCAAACCTAATCAGAGTGACAATGCCAGAACTGATTGAGCAACTGGATAAACACTGGTAAAAACCACCAGTATCAAATGAAATGCTGTCACGTTGCATATGCTTTCGCTAGCAGGCGGGCTGTGATTTCGCTCGGCACTTCTTCACCAAGTCGGTAGAGCATGCCTGTGTGGCATGCCATGCTTCGATAGCTGTCTAATAGTCGCATCGTCCCCGTACTTTCCAAGGAGTTTCTGATTGACCCGCCTCCATCTTCTCTGCCCATCTCGCCGATTTTTATCATAGTTTTAAATGTCGCTCTTGCCACACTTTCAAGCATTCTCTCTGTCGTTTTATTGTTACGACGGCTCCTTGCGTCTGTATTTTGGCACAATGAGGCGGCACTTCCTTACGCTTAACCCTACTCTTGCAACTCGTTGTCAAAGACCAATTTAATATCACCGACACCAGAAAAGCGCATTACGTTTGGCCGCTATCCGTCTTATTCCTAATACTCTTTGCTATTTTGCGGTCTACCAAACGTTCTCTCGTTGTGGTTGCCTGGGATGTGGCAGCTTTTCACCGCCAAAAGTGATATCCCACGGAAATTGCATTAATCACCAGCATAAATACAGAAGACAGACTGAGGTCGCACCATACTGGAGTATCACCTTTGGAAAGAAATGAATCCCGAGTTGTATTCAAGAGCTACCTTGGTATATAAAACGCCCGGAAGACATGTTTGTGGGAGTTGTGTGGGCTATTACTACATGTGTTGCGAAATGAGTGGGGCAGCGATGCAAAAACAGCCGCCCAGACAGCTGCCACAGAGCTGAGGTCACAGCACCAACGAAACAACTGCAAGAGGACCTTGAACTCTGAGGTATCATACCGACCAACCCTTGGCAAAAAAAGCTTTGAAGACCGACCATTAGGTCAATGTCAATCCCATTGACCCCCGCGTTCACCTTGAAGACATTCTCCAGGACTCTATCTCATCTTCACGCTCGTCTCCTCGCTACGTCACATTCGATACCATCGAGACCAGCACCAATCTCGAACAACGTCAAGAGCCTCTCACGACCTCTGTGCACTATGGCGGCGACACCACAACATGCGCCCATCACGAAAATGGTGGTTGACGCTATGAGATCACTGCAAGCAGCCTAAGAGGAATGGCTCATCGAAGCTATGCTAATTTGCTTAGATACCCTGAACAGCTTGCCGACAGAGCATGGGACAACGTGGGACTGCTCCTTGGCAACATTGATCCAGCAGACAAGAGCTTGTCGGGCCCCCAGACAAAGGCTCTGAGCAAGACTGTTCTCTTGACGAATGATCTGAGCATTGCTGTCGCAGAAGAGGCTGTACGGAAGAATGCTTCAGTCATTGTGAGCTATCGTGAGTTGTATAATCGAGCAAGACATTGTATTCCGCTCCTACTAACGACTCGCTGCTTAGATCCCTTCATATTCAGAGGCCTCAAGTCTATCACGTTGAATGATCCTCAACAACGCATCCTGCTACAGCTGGTACAGAATAACATCGCTGTTTATTGCCCCCACACGGCGGTCGATGCCGTTCCTGGAGGTCTCAATGACTGGCTGGCCGACATCTTGAGCGCTGGAATCTCAGGATCCAAGCGCACAGTAGCACAGCCGACTTCTTCGCCACCACCTACCGGCTTTGAAGGGTCTGGATACGGTAGGGTGGTCGAGTTCAGCAGCCCGATCTCAGTGGTAGATCTCGTCCGGAAGGCTGCCAAAGGTCTTGGCGGGCTTGGTTATGTTCAAGTAGCAGCGCCAAAGCAAGCCGATCTACGCTCGCTGAAAGTCAATTCTGCAGCGGTCTGTGCTGGCTCGGGATGGGACGTCTTGAAGGACTCTGGAGCTGATTTGATAGTCACAGGCGAGATGACCCATCACAACGCCTTGAAGGCGACGATGGAGGGCAAGGTGGTTGTCACAGTCTTTCACAGTAACTCAGAGCGGTTGTTCCTGAAAGAGAGAATGCAGCCGGCACTGCAGGAGAAGCTCCAGCAAAGCGACTCAAACATCCAGGTTCTAGTGAGCGAGGAAGATGCCGATCCGTTTGAGATATGGGATGTAAGCAAGTTAGATTGATCGGTATGAGTTTGATAATCTCGCGATGCGAAGTCAGCGACCAGGCGACGTTAAAAAGCGTAGTTAGTAACATCAGGTTACAAGGCGTTCAGATTTGAATAGTACTGTATTAATAGTATCGGGTCTAATATACGGAAGGACACTCCTGATATCGTATAATATCGTGACAGTATGCAGCTAATCAGGTATCAATCAACTCGTCAAGAGGTATCTAATGCATCGCACCGCTAAGATATGCAGTCGTCAGCCATAAAACATAATTCTATACAACATTTCCATCCTTCGGAGCGCTGACATCATCGCCCTTCTTCCTACGCCACGATTGCCAGACGCTCTTCTCCGATCGGCTCTGTATAATACTCTCGACTTCGATATGAGGTGCCACCTTACCTCTCTTCCTCCGCCGACGAAACGGGATGGTTCGCTTGGTTCGTGTTGCCAAAATTGAGTGGCTGTCTCCAGCATTCAGATGCTGCAGCTGGAGTTGACGCTCTCGTCTGCGGTGAGCACGATCACTGACGGCCCCAAAGCTGAGATGAGTCTCAAAGAAGTTGCCCATCTTCTTCACCCATTCCATCCCCATGCGTGTTTGGAGCAGGAAGATGAGGATAAAGAAGGGGACACAGACTCCGATCATTGTGACAGGAAACCGCCAGTCACTGGCGCTTATGGTAAACTCCGTAATACCAAAGACGGACTATTGTAATCTGAGTTAGTGATTAAATTCCTATTAGTGATTAGAACGAGCTGTCTTACCGTAACAAAGGTCAGAGGAAGAAAAAGCATCGAGACACCTGTGAGGATCTTGATGTTGTCGCCCTGCTCTATAGCCCTTCTACTTTCCTTGACTGAGCTGCCACTGAAAAGCTGTTCCCTCAAGCTCATAATTTCTTGACGGACCATCTCATTTTTGGTAAGACATGCCCCAAGCTGCTTTACGGCCCTCTCAATCTCGTGCCTGACTCCTTGCAATTTCGCCAGGTAATTTCGACCAGCCTGAGACTCGGGATCGGGATGCGGCCACAAATACGGATGTTTGCCGGCCCAGAATTCGGCGGTGAATGTATCGTGGTACGCGCTGGTCATCGATTTGATCCCTTCGTTGATAACACCAAGAGTATTGTAAGCCCAGAAATATCGACGACTGTAGGTGAAGTCTTTGTCTTCGAACAGTAGCTTGTCACGTAATCTGCCATCAAACATGAATTGTGGCTGAGCCTGTGTTAGTGACCATCCTCGAGAGAGATTCAGTAATGAACTTACCGGTGGCGTGGTTAGCTTGCTGATCAATTCGTTCAAATTCAAATACCTCTTCACGGCATCTCTATATTCCGCAGCCAGACTGTCCAAGAAGGCATATGGACCACTATAGAAAGGTTTCTTGATGTCTTCACTCCGCATGGAGTGCTCGTCATCGGCGTACCATTGTATATGGAGAAGATGCCACGGGGCAAACGTTTCATAGACTGCGCCCAGTTGTGCACCGCGACGTCTTCGACTACGAAGCCTGATGGTCTTCACTGGATCTCCTTCCAACGACAGCGCTAGCACTGAACTGCACTCGGTAATGTCGATGTGATCGGGTGATTTCTTGTCTGGCGGCCGGTCATCAAACTGCTGCCACGGAGCTGGCGTTAGACCATCTCCCACGACAGTATAGTACTTGAAAGCGAAGAAGAAACTTCGCTGGCGTGTTTGTGTTTGCTCGAAGGCTCGATGCATGAATGCCTTTGTCTGTCCTTTGTTGCCGTCCTTTTTCACGAGGTGCTGGAAGATTTCGTCCATATCAAAGTTTCTGCTCATTGTCATGTGAACCCCGGCAAGCATCATCGGAGACGGCTCTTGGAGAATGGTCATTCTTCCGACGGCTAGGCCATGGACATTCACATCCTTAATGGTATCCCACACGGTTGATGCCTCCAGGTATTCGTCATCTGCATTCCCATGCTCATCGTGTTGAGCGACTGCAGATCCATCAGAGTTCACATCGTAAACTTCGTAAGTTGCATTGGCATAGCAGTCATCCTCGGTCGTCCCGGTGTCCGAACCTATACTGAAAAGATTGGAAGCATCTAGTTCATTTCTCCTCCGCCAAACATCGTCAAGAATCGCAACTGTGGCCTCGCTAAAGGTCTCCGTGCACTTGAGATGATTGAGAAGTGCCTTGTTGTCAAAGCAATACGAAGCAACTGGTTTCTCGACAGTAGAGACGTTCTCGTCCGGAATTCGTGGAGACTGTGGCTGCGTGGGCGGCAGCAAGGGTATGAAGTCTTCCTCGTCGTCGCTGTCGGTCTCACCATCATACACCTCGTTAGTCAAGCCCGATAGCCGCCGCCGATCCTTCAGCTCGTTGGTAAGCCGCCGAACCCGTTTATGAAGCGGAAACACCTGGAGCGACATGTCACTCGCAAAAGTCCCTCTGTGTATTGGCCCCGGCATCGGGTCGCTTGTAGGCGAGGCGAGCTTTGGTGATGGTGAGCCGGAAAAGCCATCGCTGCTTCCTGCTCTCTCCATCCGAGAACCACTTGGAGGGCTGGTGCGGCCAACCGACTCGTGGAAGGCCCTCAGCGTCTTCACATACTGCTCATGGTGGAGCTCGAGAGCTCGAAGCAGCTCGTCCGGGTTCCGTTGTGAAGATGCCATTGCGACGACGACTTAGTCTTGAGAGACTCGTAGTACAGTCGCAAGGCAAGGCAAGCAAATGCAGCATAAGATATGAAGAAGTGTGAAGCAGAAACAGAAGAGCCTGCGAAGCCCGACAGACGTAACAGTTCAAGAGTGACCCAAATTTTTGGCCATCAATTGTCAGCCTGCATTAAACTAGTCGATCTCTGAGATGATATACTTGAGCAGGCCTGGGGGGGGGGGG